TATATATTTATATATCAGGATGCATAGTTAAATCTTTCGACAAAAAATATTTTTACCTTAAAAAAATGCAAATGGTCATGATAAAATAACTAGACAAAGAGCTCTCTTCTTGATTAGAAACCATAAGAAGATAGAGTGATTTTTCGAGGGTGGAAAATAAGAATATCTTGCCAAACACAGCAGAGTTGTACATGAGAGTGCAATAATCTCACCGAATCCAGCTCAGTAGACGCATATGTAGACTCCCAAGTATTTCATCAAACACGTAACACAGTTGGCGCTATCATATGTTACGGACCGATGGTACGCCGAAATGGATTGTAGTTGAATGAATTGTGAAAAGCACACTTTTGTATAAAACACAGTGAAAATCAACATGGAAAAGAAAAAAATATCTCATTTATGAAAAGGGATCACTTTTTGCTTTTTAAAAAGCACCTTTAAGGGCTTTTTAAAAACGCTACGCACCATGTAAATATATATATTTAAAAAATTCTTTTTTTTCCTTATTAATAGCAAAAAGAGAAAATTAGTAGAAATCTGAATATCAAATTACACTGTTGCTTTTCCTTAATGTTAGTGTTTGATCTGTCCTAATTAAAAGTCTTTATTGTTCCAATATTGTTGATTTACAATTATGAAATGCAGATCAATGAACAGAAGGTGGAAGTGGAAATATAAAACACTAAACTTTACTACATAAATATAATGAAGTAAAAACAGTGAGTGAAATATAGATTTTTAATTGGAATATGAAAAATTGATAAAATATAGTCTATTAAATAATAAAATAAGAATATTGTTAACTTTACAGTATAGAAACTTTAACAGGCTTCCAGAAAATTGGAAAAATTTTTGAAGGAGATTCTTTTTCTTCCGATGTATATAGAGAAAACTTCAATATTTCTTTCTTATCTTGGAGGGAAATACAGATTCTTTATTTTCTCTGTGTGCCAGAAAGATACAGTAGTCCTCAAATTAGCTGCTGCCAATTAAACACAAAGGAGAGATAGATAAGTGAAATCTCCATTAAAAAACAGGCAAGTAATTGACACTTGTTCAACCTTTTTGTTCTAACTAAAGCAATATTTAACAAGGTATGCTGAGATTTCTTGCTTAAAATCAATAACATACGCAGATCATCAACTGAATGTGTAAGAACAACGCTCTCTGCCCGTTAAAAAACCAACAGCTGTCCTTCCAATCATTGATGAAACCGTACAGCTGCATGGTTTAGTCCTTGAAAGTCAAAGGGGATGATGTATCCCCAGAAAAAGTGTGATTGTACGAAACAGAAAAATTCTCCTAAAAATCAGTCGGCCAGATTGATTGCGGGTAGAAAAGAGAAATTTTTATCGTTATTTATTTTTTATTAGCATGTTTTTAATTTTTTTAAATAAAATCATCCTCACATAAACTAAAATCAGATGATTCTTTATCACTTCGATTTACGAGGGGTAAATATCGGCAACCAGAAGATGGTACCAAAATTCTAAGATAAATATATTGCTATGTTTCACTATGGAAATACTGTGAAGGGAAAATACAAATTTTCAATTGGAATACGAAAACACTTAATTTTACATTTAATATTAAAATGAAATTCAGACATCTGAGATAGCATTCCGGATAATTGGTTGTCTACTCCTGTTCCCAATTTTTTTAACTATGGAACCCTAAATGCTCAAGCTTCTTTTGGCGAAACAAAAAAAAGTTAATAAGAAGTTGTGAATATATTAACCAAAAAATAAAGACCAGGGCCGGATTTACATATAAGCTAAATAAGCTGTAGCTTGGGGCCCTAAGATGACAAGGGCCCCCAGATCCCACTTTTTTTAAAGTTTTATTCGGAGCAGGGGCCCTATGAAGCCCATTATATATTATTTTTCTTTTTACATTTTCGGATGCTTTTCAAAATCTAATCGAAGTGTTTAAAAATATAAAATAACTGTTGGTTATACACACTTTTTATATAAATAAAAAGTAAGGTATTAATTTCTAATTGAATTTGGTATACTTAGTTTTATTGCATTGTTTTATAAAAATAATTTATCTGTAATATTAATATTTAAAATAAGTGCAGAAGTCAAAGTGTGAAAAAATTTATTATTTCCATGTGTGAAAAAATTTATTATTTCCTTATTTCCATGATTGGACTTGACATTCAATGCTGAGGGCCATTTTTAGTATATATGTCTAAATAAATAGTGCAAAAATTTTAGAACACAAAATAACGCACGGAGAAAAAATTACGACACTTCTCGCAAAAAAGAAGAGAAAAAAAAGAAAAAGAGAAAAAAAACAAAATTTTGGTAACAAAACCAAAATATATGGTACTTAAACCATTCATTTGGTAATTTTTCCGTTCGCATTGCAACAGTTTATCGAAAATTCTGGTTTTAANAGAAGAAAAAAAAGAAAAAGAGAAAAAAAAAACAATTTTGGTAACAAAACCAAAATATATGGTATTTAAATCATTCATTTGGTAATTTTTCTGCTCACAATGCAGCAGTTTATCAAAAATTCTGGTTTTTAAAATTATAGCTCTTATTACCACACATTTAATAAAAATGCAACAGTCAAAAATAAAATTAACCCAATTAGTGATTATTATGCCATACACTAAGGCAGCGGTTCCCAATTATTATTTAGGCTTCCCTTTACGGAACCCTAAATAATGACGGAACCCCGATATTACAATTAAAGTTTATTAAGGTAATTGTGAACGTTATAACCTAAAAAAAGACTATTTTAAAAATATTTAATTAGAGGTATGAAGAATTTTCATTGTTTTATCATTAACAATCTTAAATAAGGTTTTATATCCGATAGTTAAATTTGCAATCCTTGTGCTGTATCTAGTCTATTTTTGAATTTATTTTTGGTGTATATACAAAAGCTAAAAATGAATGAGATAAGCCAAATTATAGTTTATTTCTAAATGAACTGAAGAGACTAGTTATAAACGCTATACAAATGATAATTTAGAAAGCATTTTTCTTTATAAAAGAATTTAGTTATTTTAAATTGATTTGAAAAGTGCGGTAAGAAATATTAATGTAATATTTTATGAATGCTTATTCTTTTCCTAATTTGATCAGCATTCATCATATTGTTTTCAGAAATATATTTTCATTTAGAAAATGCCATTTCCATTTAATTGGTATTTTACTTCAAATAATTTAATAAAGGGAACAGAAAGATTATATACGATATGATTTATATGTTGGATTAAAATATAATCAGATATTATAAAAGAACTAACTAGAAGTTATAAAAGTATTCATCCCCAGTTATGAAAAGTACTAATTCGCTCCAAAACCATGAAGTTCCATGGAAGACAGTTTGGAACTACTTTCTTAAGGTATCATGACAAAATTAAAAAATTTAACACACTTACTACCGCAGCATGGCAAAAAACTATATTTTTATTATGTTAATTTCATGAGAAGTCATAACCAGATCAATATTGAAAAACACTATCCTGTATTTTGGTGTTCCCATAAATACCGTAAATTTTACTATATTCTAATAGTTTTGACCATACTTTCTTTTCTCAGTGTGGTCAGTACCATGATTCACATTTCATAAAAGGTACTGTATTGTCGCATGCAAACATATATTTTTTCTCAAAATTTAGGACACCCCTCCTTTTATTTTGACACCTCAAACTTTTTTAAAAAAAATTATTTTTTCGCAAAATTGAAGGGGGGGAAAACACGAGTCTAAGAGTTTTACATCAAGGACATTTTCGACAAAATCAAGAATGTCAAGTATCCAAATTACTTAATTCATTAAATTAAAAAAAATATATATATAAAAAATTCGCAAGGCAGGTGTGCATATTAGGGGCTGAAGATTATGAAATCTAACACGAAACTGTGAGATTGTGGCTTCTATTCCAGCTGATGACAGCTTTTTATTTTTATTTCCTTATACTGATGTATGTTTTCTTTTTTTAACTGACTATGTTTTTCTTTTTTTTTTAAAGTATGCATGTAAAACTAATAATTTAACAATTATTTAAAAAACTAGAAGGCTCCGCCCCTTGTTCACTTTGCTCACTAACCCTCGTGGTTGCTTTTCATTAATCATTGCAGATATGAGGAAAAACGGCTATTTCCATTTTTTCACACAAAAATTACGATTGCCATTTACATTTTAAAGATGACTAAGTTTAAGCAAATCAATAAAATTACAAAATTAAAATCTGGGTCACAAAGTCCACTAAGTTCCCATAACAAATCAATACCTCTGGGTACTGATCCAGAAGTTCCCTTGTCTTCTGCATTGAGTTCAAAATTACAAGGCTACGTAGTTAAACATGGGTAGTTGTAAACTCAAAATTGAGTCAGTTTTTCAATGGTGGTCATAAAAAGAATAAAACTAATTATCAAATTGTATTTTCTTGTATTTCATTCTAACTCCTTGCATATTTTCTATGTTTCTAAGTCTATGGATTTTGAGCAGCAAAGCAAAATGTAATGTAAAGAAATTTTTTTAATAATTTAATGTTAATACTCAACAATAAAAAATGACAGTTTTCCTCAGGTGTATTATATATACTTTGGGTGCATGTCTTTGGAATTCTTTACTTTGAACTTATAAGGGCTCCATCTTTTTCAGTAGCTTGGGGCCTCGCCAAACTTAAATCCGGCCCTGATAAAGACTATTAATTATTATGAAAATATTTAGTGTGAAGAAGGAATTACTTAATATTATAAATTTATTCTTGGTGCATACAGATGCTGAAAATGAAAAAATAATAGTGATAATCTGAAATATGGTTTTCAAAAAAGTTCAGCAATAAACTTTTAGAATAGTTATAAGAGAAACAAAATTCTTTATTCTTGATTTTGGTCGTTTTATTTTGAATTCAGGGATGAGATTGGCCAAAAGGCAAAANAAATCAGCTAAAAAGCGGAAAAATCTCATCCCTGTGAATTGAAAAGCTTGACGAAAAGTATTTATTGAACTTTCTATAAATACATTATTTATTCCATATATTGTAATTGAAGAAAAAAAATTAAGAAAAAATTAGTTACTTTTTTCATTGGAATTTTAAAATAAATAAATTTATACAATCAAAATATTAAATAAATTATGGATTATTGATTAGATGAAGATTTAATAAAGACTGATTTTTTTAAAAAAATTCTTTACTTTCGGAATTCATTAAATCCTTCCTCAAAACACAAGACCCATTTTGGGGACTGCTGTTCTACTGTAGTAATAAATGGATAATAATGTGTATTTAGTCGTTCGAGCATAGACTCGAACTATCATATCAAGCATGTGCCATCGGATCTGGACTTTCTCTCTAAGTTTCAGTTTAGATTCCTCACCTGCTAGTGTTGCGTTAAGATGCATCTCTGTATTCTAAATTTTAAATATCATAAATTATTAATAAATTGTGCTTGTTATATATAAGAGTGTTTATTCCTAAAATCCCACGCTATGGAACAACACAGATAAATAGGTAGAGAATTCATATTTTAAGTAGGAACCAGCTTTAGGTAAAAGAGAAAAAAAAGATCCAGAATTATGAAAGTCTTGGATCATTAATTTCTGAAAGATGTTAGAGGACCCTGTAGCAGAATTTTTTCGAGCTGTCTGCAACAAAACTCAATCACTAATATCTTCCTACAAGAATAATAACAAACAAGTATGTTACAAACTTAAAATAACAAAAGAGCTGCGTTTACCAAAAAAAAAAAACTATATAATCTTTTTTAATAAAATATGTAATAATTTTTTATTCGAAAATTATAAGTGATATTCTCGCATTTTGTGTGTGGAGGACACAACTTATTTCCTTCTTCAAATTTTGTAAATAATTATCAGAAATAAAAAATATATTTAAAAATCATGAAATTTGTAGTAGAAATTGCCGAAAAAAAGATCGGTGACAAAATCATACAAATCATGCTCCGCAAATGCTCGTTTCATTTTGAGATTACCTCATTGTAATAGATAATATCGCATAAAAAATATCGAAATTAAAAAATATAGAGAAATCAATAGCAATAACCGCTGAAAGTTCAATATAATTATTGCCTTAAAAAAGTAAATACTCAAATGCACAATTCGAATTTTTCATATTGTTTGATATATATTGGTATATTTAAAATCCACGTGAAATCAATAGCAATAAACTGACGAAAATACAATTGAAACATTACATCGATTTACGATACTATCGCCATACATTGAGAGCGTTAAAAAGTTATTACCCAAATGCATGATTCAAATATTAGGTATAAATTTCTGTAGATAATAAAAGCAATTTTTTTATTTTACTTTTCAAAAGAAAAATCTTTCTGCAAGAACTCTGCAACGTTCTGCGACAATGTCGCCGTAGTTCTGCCACAGGGTTAGAGGAATTACTATATTAAGGAATTACTATGTATACAGCATTACTATATGGACACGTAAAATAATGGATTTCACGAATTTTTTTTTTTCTGAATCAAATGATCTACTTAATAATACAACAAAAATGAAACAGCAAAATATTTACTTTTTATAGATTTGTCTCTGAATTCATCTTTTACTTTAATTGGAGCAAAGGTTCTAGCTGATCTGAANGCCACAGGGTTAGAGGAATTACTATGTATACAGCATTACTATATGGACACGTAAAATAATGGATCCCACAATTTTTTTTCTGAATCAAATGATCTACTTAATAATACAACAAAAATGAAACAGCAAAATATTTACTTTTTATAGATTTGTCTCTGAATTCATCTTTTACTTTAATTGGTGCAAAGGTTCTAGCTGATCTGAAAGCTTAAAAAGAAAAGAAAAAAATGTTATTATATTCCACAAAAATGTTACAAAACAATACAAATAAATCTTAAGTAAACGTAACGACTAATATTATTTTAAAATTATTATATTATTCCAATAATACCAAACTAGTATATTTAAAGCAATAAAAAAGAAAATAAAGTTAATTGAGCACTTGCACTGCAAAAAGAAGACAACCAATACCCACACATGTGATGTCAGCAAAATTCATCAGCACTATTAAAGTTGTTCTTTAACATTAAGTAAATAAAATACAGAGCTATACAGCTGAAATATAATACTTTCACGTCTTTTACTTAACTTAGATTTATTATCTGTATTTTATTGATATATTTTCATTCTATGTACCTGCATAATTAGTTAGTTTATGTTTCACATGGCTCCGTGCCTGTCTTTGTGTAAATAACAGAATTGAAATCTTTGTAAAAGAATGTAAGCTGAGTTACTTAAGAAAATTGGTACTTGGAAGGCTTGGCTTACTCAAAATAGAATGGAAAGAACAGTTGCTAACCCAATCAGGATTGAGAAACCAACACTACATCACTTGCAGGTATACCATTTATACAAAATATTAGTATCAGCCATGCCAAAATCAAAAGATCAGATTGAGTAACTTATCACACAAAGTAGCTATCAGAATTTCTACTCAATTTGAGAAATAAAACTCCCTGACTTTTCAAGTTTTTTTTAAATGAAAATTTTGAAACAGTTCCAGTTTGCATTTTTTTCTACATGCAGCAATATTTTATTCAAAAATATAATATTCTTCATAGCTTTAGCAATGAAACTATTTTTTGTTATAGAAAATATGCTGAGTATCAAATTTTTAAAAAACAAAATATCACCATGTGAAACTATAACATATAGATTTTATTATACGCAAGATAGATAGTCCACAACTATCGTTAAATTACAAGCACTCAAAACTCATAGTTACTTCTCAAATATGCATGTTATGATGATGTGTTAAACAATGTTATGGAATCAAAACATGTCTAGAGATAAATAGGGTGCCAAAAAACACTATTGGAGTAGTTGAATAAAATATTTCCCTGATACTAAATGTTGAAAACAATTAAGAGAAAAATGAGGAAAGAGTGTTTACTAATCCAGTGGCGGATATAGACAAAAGCTGGGGTATATATTTTGAAATAATGACATATTTTATAGTTTTGAAGAATTGAGAAAAAATTCAAAGCAAAATACTTCAATCATAATATAAATTTTTAAATAAAAATGCCTCTTTGTGTGAGTAGAATTTACAGACAAGATAAATATGAGGCCACAAATAAAGGCTACAAATTCCAAGAATAAATTTATCATATTTAACAAAAATGATAGCAATAATTATGAAAATATTAAACAAGGAACTGTTTGACTTATATAGTATATACATTTCTAATTATTAAAATTTCCAATTATTAAATATGTGTCTGATTTCATAACATAAAATATCCTCTGCACAAATTAATTAGCATATTTAAATCTAATCTCTGGAACCATTAAGATTGCATTTTAGTATGTGTAAACATACTAAAGTTTGTATAAAGCTAGCTAGATCTAAATATTTGATAGCTAGAAGTTATTTAGATGTTTTATTTTGCACACACTACATCTGCTAAATACTATAGATTACAGGTCTTTGTGGGGCACTGCAAATAAATCTTGCATCTTCTAGATAATACAGTTTAAGCAGGAGGGGGATAGTTTCAACATAGGTAAATTTCTTCAATGTTTGGTGTGAAATATTATATTAGAATTAATTTACTTCATGCATTTTTTTAAACATATAAAATTGGATGATACAGAGATACAAGACTGAAAAAAAAACATTATAAAAAAGATGATAATCATTTCAAAGTGAATGTCTAGTACTGCTTAATTAAAGCAACAATATTATGTAACATAGTTGTAGTCTGGTATTCTAAAATACTGCATGTTCTTGTTTTTCAGGGTTCTCACTTTTTAACAAAGTAAAAATCAAGGCATTTTTTGAAAAATTAAGGACCTTAAAAATAGTATGATTGTTTACCATCCAATATACATATACCACCAGTGACAATGACAATTATTTACCTTCTTAAAAAGAAAATCAATAAAAAAATAAAAATTATTATAATGTAAGTACTGATATAATTGTATTGATTAACAGGCCTTGCCAAAGTAGGATCAGGCAATATTTGCAAATGCAATGGGTGGGTTTTTTTTTTCTTTCCCGTATATATATATATTTTCAGATTGTAAAAGGCCACTGACATTTATGAAACTAATCCATATTCCATTTTCAATGATTTCATTGAAATTGAATTGTAAAAATAAATGCATAAATTAAGAATTGCAATTTTTTTCCATATATTTTTAAAAAAAAGAGTAAATAAAGAAATTTGAGAAAAACACTGAAAAAATGATTAAAAATTTTTATATCTTGCTACTAAATATGCATCATATATTCAGTTGTGGGCCAATCTTGCTAAATATTCAGCTACGCCAAAGAAAATTTCTTTCCTACTATTATTAAAATACTTCATTTATAAAGGTATATATTAAAAGAATTAATACAGGGTGCGTAGCCAAATCTTTTAATCAAAAATAAGCACTCTTTAAAAACTTTTCAAGCACTTTACAAAAATTCTCAAGCACTCAAAAAATTCATATTCAATCAATGATATTATTGAAAAACAAAAACTTTTTATAAACAGTTTTAGCGTTTAAAAAAAACCAAAAAGAAACGGGCGTAAATTGAAACAATCAGTACTTTCCCACATCACTGAGTGAATTCAACTTGACCCTGAACTCAGAACAAAAGTACCCTTACCCCCTACGTCAAAAAAAGTGTTAGAAGTAAATTAAACAAACAAGAACAAAATTAAAATAAATTAAAAAGAAAAAGATTTCATAAGGATCTGACATTCTCTATCCGAATTGGAGCACTCGGGTTTCGGTTTCAAGTATGCGCGCATGCGCAAGTCATAACGTGGGTACAACATGAAATCTGCGTGAATGATTACGTAGCAAACTCCCCATTTTTCGTGAAATGCATGCGATCCACCAGATATCACTGATGGGGAAAAAAAGCACTATTTAAAAACGCCAACTGAAAAAAGCACCTTTAAAAGCTTTTAAAAACGAAATCCCCAAAAAAGCACCTTTAAGTACTTTTTACAAACGCTACGCACCCTGTAATACTAAAAAGTTGAATTAGACATATGTATGAGAGTGTACTGAAGATAATGTTACTGAAAAATTAAGGACTTTTAAAAACCTTGCACCAAAATTACTTTTAAGTGCCCTTATTTTCCAAAATAAAAATTAAGATGTTTTTTAAGAACCCTGTTTTTGATTTTATATTCTTTGACTGAATTAGTCAATTAAATGTTTTATTATTTCTGACAATAAAAGTAATAAACAAACCCTTCTTAATTGCCATCATTCATTCATTATTAACTCATCAATCTCACATTAAAATCAACCAGGAATTAAGTACAGCAAGTTATCATTAGGAATTATTGTCTTTAAGGCCCTTATCACTTTATAAACCAATTATTTGTTTAAACAGAGTGAAATGAAGCACTCTACTTAAGATGAAAAAAGATTTTAAAAATTTTTTAAATGAATACTTGTTATAAATTTCTTCTCATCCTCAAAATCCAGGTATCTCTGCATTTCTACCAATTGTCCACAGAGCATTAAGACAGCAGCACTATCGACAGGGGAGAGCTCAGCAGGAACGGTTCCACGAACGCAGTCCAAAAAATATTTGTAAACTGCTTTCACATTCACCACTTGTGGATCACTCACTTCTTCAGCTTCATTATAAAATGTTTCAAACAACTGCAAGAAAATAAAGAGGGAGTGAGGAGTGAATTTCAAAACACAGATTAAAAATTACTGTTAAAAACTATAAAATAATGTAGTCAAACCTAGTTTTAGCAAAATCCGAAATAGAGAAAATTTTCAATGTAATGAATATATTCCGAATCCCCATAGAAACAATGGATTAAAAATACTGATATTAAAAAATTCGTTATTCGATTTAACTAAAGTGAAAATGAGCAACGATTCTCATTTTCTCTCATAATCAAAACACTTTTTCATTCTTCTAAAGTACGAAATGATCTCAGATTTCAAATAAAAGTCACCATCTTCAAAATAAAAAGTTGCAGATATGAAAGGGACACATCAAAAAAGAAGAATAACTCGGAAGGGACCATCCTAAAAAGACTAAACCATTCACGTTTGAAGAAGTAAAAATGCATGTGGCTTTTCAAAAGAGTGATTTGCAGTTCAGTTGTTTGAAAATGTGCATAATTTAGGAGAAGTTTGTAATTTGTACTGATTTTAAATTATTTGTACAGAAAAAAATTACGGATTTTGTAATTTCTGATAGGTAAACAGTAACAAATCCGTTGTTCCTTTTAATTGAATTGTTTTTGTCAGCTTTTAAAATATGGATTTGATATTTTCGACAAGTAGAGTACAAATAGATCAAAACTGTAATTAAATGCAATATTCATTATTTTTTTATGCGAAAAATTCCAATGAAACTAAATAATTTTGATTAATGCTGAAATTCGTAATATCGTTACATTGAATTTTTGTTATTGCGAAGCGATTGCTTCTGTGCTGAGGAATTCGCTAAAACGGAATTCGACTGTATAACTTATATAAAGTACTACAACTATTTTTTGAATCATCATTCCATAATTTATAGACTCTATAGACTCAACCAAACAGAGCGTCACTAAATTGACATCTTCATTAAATAAATCATCCAATTCTACTTTAAGCTGCAAAATCTGTATCAGAAGAAATCATTTTCAGAGTTACATCTACCCCTAGTTTTTCAAATCTACCCTTAATTTAATAAAGTTACGCGATAGCAAATTCTGGTGTGTAGGGTGTATAAGTTCACTATTGGTTGATTGCCATTCCCATAGATGCAGAACTTCAAATGATACTAGACCTATGACAAAATATAGATTCGAATTTTATTGTAAAATATTCTTAAAATATACGAAATTTCAAATTTTTTTGATGAGCTTTGGATGATTTTTTGCTGGACTCAGCAGGTGAGTTTAAAGTAGAATCCATTGCAGAGTGGGATACATAGAACAACATTCGTGAATTCGATACAAATGATATTCTGGAATCTTTAAATTTGTAACTTCAGGATATGTTTTAAAAGTTTTGATTCTGTTATATTTTTTGAAATACTCTTGAATAAATTATCTTAACTTTTCTTATTCTTAATTTTTTTAACGTAATTTAAAGTATTGTTTCTGAGAAAAAACTTTTTATGCAGAAGAAAATTAGATAGAAGAAAAGGCAAAATTAATTGTATATAACATATTTAAAAATAGTTTTTGCAAGGGATAATTTGTAAAGTTAAATTGATACAGGGTTATTTATATCTATTTCATTGTTTATAAGGCATCAAGTTTTCATGATAAACGAATGTCCGATTATATATCAGAGTATAAGTCAACACCTGTTTTTTGCAAAATCTTGGGGTTTAGAAAAATTTATTTATACACTGACATATATGATTTCCTAAATCCCGAATGTATAAAAGAAGTCACTCTCTCTACACTCATTGACAAATTTTATTCAACAACAGGGAGGAAAAAAAAAATTAAATGCAATGTTTGAAATACGCCTAGATTTGTATTGGCGAAATAGGCACCACTTACAATCCTAAAAAATAAAGATTCACAAAAAAGTTTGAAGTGTTATATAAATGTGTATTACAGAAATAAATAATAAATATCAGCTTAGATTAAAGGTAAAAGGAAAATTTAAATCTTTTAAAGTGCCAAAACTCAATAATTTATTTAATAAACCTGTATCATTTTAATTTATTAAACTATTAATTATTTAACTCAATATTTAATATACTATGTCTTAAAAAATTAATAAGTATAAATGAGTATAAGTATAAAACTAATAAAATCTTCTAGATAAAGTTATTTTAAAACCACAACATTTGTGAGCAACTGGGTATAGTTTGTCAATGGTAAGAACTAGAATAGAGTGTTACAGGGAGGGTAGCTTCTCTTCACTCTAGGCCTAACACAGTAGACCGAAGAAAAAGATTCCGTTTCTCTCGCTGACACAAGCCGAAATCCATAGTAAACAATTACCCCACACCCCTTCTAGAAATAGTTATACCTTGTTACCGCCGTTGGTCCAGACTAATGGCTAGAAATACGCCTAGATTTAAGTTGGAGTTCTTTCTTTAGACAAACTATAATATTTGCGGTTTTTCTTTTAAGTCTTTCCTTTTAGGTCCCATTTCTTTTATTGTAAATAGACATATAGAATCCCTCCCTGGAATTCGAGTTGTCGAATATTTTAGAACATGTGACTTGCATGATTCTAGAGAACACCTCTGTGGGCTGTACATAACCAGCTTTCAAACATTTTTGGATGTTAGGCCTGGATCAATACTTAACAAAAATTAATAAATAACTAAATATAGAAAATCTGTAACTTGGAGAATGATAAAATTATTTGGTTACTAAGCTTTATCCAACTTATTTCTCGTTGTCTTGTGGTTTACACAATTCTAATAACTGATTTTGAATAAAAAAGAATGTTTTACAAAATCCCATTAGTTTTTTACATCTTACTTATCAACATTCGAAACCTTAAAGAAAATTCCATTGGATTTGTTCAATCATGGTATTATATAACTTGAAATTTTAAGATTATGTTTTAATAAACAAATTTAGTGTTACATAAACAAAGCACTATATTAAATATTATACGTAAAAGAAAAAGTCAAAGAAAATTAGATGGAAAACTACAAAGAATACACAATATTCAAAATTAAGATGAAGATAGACAGAGTAAAACATTAAACCGAAAAAATTAAATACCTAATTAGCATACTTTCCCTTTACACTTAATCAATGATGACGGTTTGAGAAACTACCAAATTATTATTTCATATTGGTCCAAGTCATTTTTGAGTGGTTTTGAATCAACTGACCACCAGCCAAGTATTATTCAAAAGTATATTTTTAGAGAGTAATTTAACTTCCTATTAATTTTTAAGAAGTAAATTTTTAAATAGAAGGATAAATTTTTCAACAGAGTTCTTTAATTACTGCCATTTCACAACACATACATACTATAAAAGATAACACAGTAAAATTATTGGCTGAATACTTAAGCAAAAAGACATCCAACATTTTTTTTTTTCACTATTAATGAATATATTGGTGTTAATGTTTCTAAAAAACAAAATGTATTGACAAAGAATATGAAATTTAATTTTTTATATACTTTTTGTGCATGTTTCTCTGTTTCAAAAGTAGCCAAGTTAGAGGTCTTAACAATAATGTAGAGTTGCTACAACCTGTTCTTTTATTCAAATGTTACTACTATTTTCATATTTATTTTTCTAAGACTGTGTTGCTATATCAAAATCAAATAGTATAGTTTTTTTTTCACGAGTCTCAACCTGCCTCTTTTGGTCCTGGTTGACAACAGTTCATGCAGAAAAAAAATAAGGCCACAAAAATACACGGTGAAGATCTGGGTGATGTGGAATAATTGCATTGTGAATTTTCAAAACGAGGGCACCAATATTCAAATGACTACAATTTAAGGACCTACAAGTTTTAAAGATATTAAACTGGAGAACCTTGGCTAAGGGAAGAATGTCTTGGCATAGGCTTGTTGAGAAGGCCAAGGCCCATCCTGGGTTGTCGTGCCAATGAGAAGAAGAAGAGCAATTAAGATTTAGAATAGTAATAAACTATCCCAGAACACCACCAACACATAAAAATACATAAGTTTGTGGGAGAAATAAGAACCATCCCTAATATAGTTATTTTATAATAAAAAGAATACTATTAACATTATTGTTGCAAAAATTTGACTATGTGACAAAGTGACATTATATATGAAATAAAGCAAAAAAATAAAAATATTAATCTAGAGTAGGTGTACAAGGGTGCTTCCGAACGCAATAAAAAAAATTAATTTAGTTTTTGCTTAAACATTAGAAATTTTCATTGATTAAAATATTTAATTCAAATTTATATTACTTTATAAAATGCGTATATTTTTTGTTCTTTCAGTCTCTAAGCTTCTTATTGGTTAGAACTTATATCCTCTACAATACTTATATATATAGATAGATCTTTGATAAATTAATTATTGTGAAATGGGAAAAGCTTCTTTCAAAAGAAAAAAAAATCAGTTTTTTTTTAGTTTCAAATAATAAATTCAAATAATTAAAAGTATTTAATTTTCTGCAAATATTTTAGTAAGTTTACTGATAAAAATATTTAGTGCTTAGAACACTAACACTAATGTTTATTTAAAAAAAATTATCACATTTGCCGCTAAAATGATTAAGTATGCATGCGGCCCTTCGTTAATCTACCTGCCGTGCAAGTAGCCCTTATCAAAAAGGTTGCGCACCCCTAATTTAAAGTGATAAAAAAAGTTACACATATCTGCCAACACAGATGGGGAAAATCCAGTAGAATATACGAAATAATATAAATTTCATGATTATTGATGCATAATGTATTAAATATTTTACACATAGGGAATTTTAGGGACTTTTACAGTAATCAAAATAGAAAAACTGCAATCTTTCCCCGTTATGATTGTCATTAATATACTTGAAATGTTATGTATTATGTTTACTTATAATTTTGAATATTAACAGGCATTTAATTCATAGTTAAAAGATTTTTTTAATTAATTTAAAAAGAAAGCTTTGAATAAAAATAAACTAAACATTTTAGAACAAAAATAGTTTTAAATTAATTTCTATAAATGAGGTTCACTTCATTATGCATTAGTAATGCAATAATCTAAAACAAGCAATAATCTATTTCAATAGGGATTTTTTTTTTTTAGGAAACTTACTCAAATTTAGGGAAATGTACAAAAACCAGGAAATTTTTATTAAACCAGTAAACCAGGAGAAACTGGAAAAATCCAGTAGAGTTGGCAGCTATGGTTACATATATAAAATGTAAGAGTTACACTGCTAAAAATTTAAGAAAGGTTAAAAAAGGAATTAATATTTCAAACCTCCCATTGTGGCCCCAAAAATCACTTTTTTCTCTTTGGAAATGGCTAAAGACAGAAAATTGCTGATTGGGGAGGAGAAAATGAGTATCGCTTCAATTATTTTTGCCCCCAAATGTCTTCTGTTCTTTTTATTTGTTTTTTCATCTATTGATTTGTGGAGTGTTATTATTATCATTTAGTTTGTCAGTTTTTAGGTTCGTTTTTGTTAATTTTAAATAAGTTTTTAATTTGTTTCTTAATCTTGTTTTTTAAAATTTTAGTTCATTTGACAGATTTTGTTTAATTTACTAAAAAAATTAATAAGAGTTTACCAGGGGTGATTGTGAGCCGAAGTCAAAAATCCTGAAAATTTATTGAGTAAAATCATTAATGACACATTTCAAAAATTTAATGTCTTTATAAATTTAAATCATTAATATTTTCACTACATGAAATTCCAAATAAATTACATACAGCATAATTTAAATTGATAAATATGTTTAAGTTTACTTTTATCTCTTAACACATTTATTATTCTACCTGAAAGAATATTTACAAATGAAAAGAGATGCGAAGTATAAATTCTAGTTCTAGGTAAAATATACAAGAATTTTTATACATAAATTTGATCAATGATTTATTGAAACTTCTAGACCTTGGATATCCAGAAATTTTCGGATTGCGGTTAACAAAACAATTCAGAAATCTGGATTTTTTCCAGAGCACAATCATTTCTGGTTTTCTGAATGGTTAATTTTTCTTATTGCATTTGGGTATTATCATTTTTAATTTAATTGTGAGATTCCATAATTTACAATGGATGATTGTGAAGAAACATGTACTATGTGTATGTCCATTGTATAAATTGGGTATGATGATTTGTTCATAGTTATCAATTATTTTGCCTTTCCCTTCCAATTAATATATGTGAGAAGAGATAATATCAAAACTTTTACACTTACATTTATCTATATTATTAATAATTTTATCAACAGCATCAAATATCAAAACTTTTACACTTACATTTATCTATATTATTAATAATTTTATCAACAGCATCATTTTATACTTTAAAAAAATGACAACACTATTTCAGAATATTATCATCAAACCAATTTATAAGAAAATATCTCTTAGCTTATAAGGGAGGTGTCATTCCGGTACTTAATAGATACAGATGTAATTAAAAATTAATTCACGGAAAAATCAGATCATTATCGTAGATTACAAAATATTCAAAAAAGTCATTCATTCTTGAATCCAATAGAAATAGACATTATTAAAAATTATTTCAAAAAAAAAATCTAAAGGTTACTATAACTTATAAAAGAGAAAATGAAGCCAATGAAAAATAAAACCTAATTAAGCTAGAACTTTAAAAGGGAAAATTTCACATAGTTCTCCTTACACTTGGAGCATTGTCCCCTTTAAATCCTGAACAATAGAACTCGTTTTGCGTCTAGTTGTTTGTCACCAAAATTCCCACCAATGCCCTCTTGTGCTTTCCAATTGGCTAACACCATTACCAAAAAAAATGTAGGCAAGTACTGCCTACTTTTTAAAAAAAAAACAATAAAAAAGGAGGCCATCTTAAATTGAGATTCGGGGCAGAAAGAGCTACTAAAACTTGCGAAAAATAAACCATGCAATTTGATACTGTGCAGTCAAGGAAAAATAAATATAAAAATAATAATAAAATGAGAATAAAATAATAGGTTGTAGCAACACTACAATAGCAATAAATTTTAAAAATTAAGAATACATAAAAGAAATCATTTTTACTTTCTCTAAACTAATTGACTGATTTTCTAAAGGATCTTATTTATCAAAAAAACGAAACAATTTCAACAAAAATTTCATGAAGAGTATTTTAAAGTCAGGTAAAAATTTTAAGAAATAAATCTAAGAAAATAAAAGAGATAAATAAAATATTTGTCTAGATGCTTATTAGCAAACTCTGGTCCAGCATAATTTACATAAAAGAGAAACACGGCTTACATCTTCAAGTGTAATTTTGCTGTAGTCATTCTTTTTTACGCATGGCATAAGTTGATCAAACACAACTCTTCTCCATGCTCGTGAAGCAGGCCAATTTTTCAAATCTTCTATGTCTGGATTATACCATTGTGATATACCAGCCTTTCTACCGGGTCGTGCCTCCTTCTGGCTTGCTTTTTGACGCACCTTAGAAACTTCAGTAGCCAAAAAAGATCTGGGTGAGAGAAAAAACAATTTTAAAGAAGAAAAAAAATTTACTTTTTATTGATGCATTATGACAATCTTTGTTGACCTAAGCAAATTCAAAAGCAAACATTGGAGAAATAAAATAACAGAGATTTTACTGGCGCTTTTTTAGGCTACAAGTCAAGTTTGATACGTCATGCAAGTCAAAGAGAGAAATTCAAAATTGGAAATAATATAAGCACTTACATATAGCGAAATAAAAATTATGTACATAAATCTTAATCTTAAGAAGTTTCTTTTTAAACCATTTATAATTACCTAAACTATAAACACTCAACTTGCTGTAGTACTAGCAAAAGCACCATCTGTTGAGGAATAAGAGAAGTATTTTTGCCATCTGCGGATCTCAAAATTTTTTTTTATTTTTAATTTCCTTAAAAAATACAGAGAAATTTGAGAATATTCAAGTAAACAGGAGATAGCTGTAAAATACAGGAGTTTTCATTAAAAAAAACATGAGACTTGGGAGGAATGAATACTGAAAATACCAACGAAATTCGTGACCAAATTATTACTATACACAGCAATATTTTCTCTGAAAGTTTTGACTAAAAACTGTCAAAAAATATGTTTTATAAAAAACGGAAATTCACAGAGTCTATTTAATAATAAGATTTTATGATATATATTTTGTCCAAAGACTGAAAAAATTCAAAAGTTATATACTTTATAAATAAAGCCCACGTCAGTTACACATCCATCATGTATCTTTAATGTGTTATTGAAAACTAAATTTTTAAAATGAATTATTACCAATCTATTTAATAGTACTGCTGCAATATAAACATTATCAGGGGTCTGTCCAGACTTTTTGTGAAAGGTCCTTTTTTGTAAAGTTGTGAAAAAATTACTCGTAATTTGCGAATGTAAAATAAACTTTAAGTCACATTCTTTCAACCAGAGTAATGCTTTTGGAAACTTGTGCAAATAGTTTCCTGTTATTGCAAAAAACCTTTTCAAAGAGTTTTTAAACTGTAAAGACATACAAGATTATGCTTAACACTGTAAAATTATAATTAAAAAAATTAAATTTTAAAAAAATAACAGCAATAGCTGGTACTAAATTAGAGATAAAACATATAAATATTTGATATTTAGCCTATACTGCTGAACGCAGAATATTAATTTCGGACGAATAAAGGAAGAAGTGTCTGCCGAAGAAAAAACTTAGTTCGGTTACATCTGTCTTTCTTCCCCCCCCCCCTCCTGGGAAGGGTTTATTCGATTAACAAAACAATAATGAAGATAAACAAATTTGTGAAGGGTCCGATTAAAAGATAAATTGTATTGTGAAGGGTCCGGTTTTAAGTAAAAATATTTTGTGAAGGGTCTATTTTTATGAAAAGATATTTTGCAAAGAGTCCGTTAACGGACCCAAATTTCTTCTAATAAAACCCTTGATTATATTTAAAAAATTTGAACAAGAAAATATAAGATTATTTTGAACAAATTGAAATTTTAATAAATCTAAAAAACAATACCATGTTGTAGAAAAACCTATACAACAAATAATTGTAACAGATTTATTGACTTTAACCTCAATGACTATTTATTGTTATCATGAATTTTAAAATAGGATGATATTTTCTAGGTCTTGGTTAACCTCTTTAAAATAAAATGATAAAATTTATATATATTCTTTGATATGCTTTAAGTATAGTTGGTTCACCAGGAGTTGGCACTTGGCTTTGCCTTCATTTCGTGGTATCAGACGATACTATTTCACTATTTTTGGGAGAAGGATGTGAACAATCCTGAACAAGGTTGCTATTCGGCGATCGTATGACAAAAATATTTATTTAGCAATCTTTACGTGTATTTTTTTTAACTATTTCATAAATTTGATGATATTTCTCTCTTTTGAGTGAATAGCTTGTTTTTTTTCCAGACATTTTGCTGCAGGCATATTTAATTCGCTAGAGTAATGAAAGGTATAATAGAACTCTTTGTCAAGGTGGAGCCAAGTGGCAACTCCTGGTGAAAAAACTATACCAAGGTTTGACGTATATTTCTATCACCATGGTATGGCACCAGTAACATATAAAAAAAATTGATAAACTTCATTAAAAAAATGTGCCTTACTTTTTGACATAACCTCATAACAGTACAATACAAATAAAATCCAAAAGCATTTCTCCTTACTTTACAGTATTTTCATCTTTTGTTTGAAGAGCTTCAGCAATTTTTTCAGTTTCCGAAAATCCATAATACTGAAGAGCTGCAGCTAAATCTAACAATTCCCTAATAAGGAAGAAAAAAAATTTACATTTTTCAAAATTCAATTTTTTTTATAAGTTTATTATAACAAAGCAGAATGGATAAGGCAGTACGAAAATATTCCAACAAAGGAGTTATTCTCCGTGACTTTTGATCAAAATGTACTTTGTTTTCTGTTTTATTAGAAGAATTAATATTGAGGAAAAAAAGATTCATAGATAGACTAGTTGAATGTAACATTCCTTATCACCCTATTTTAATATCATTCTCAACTATTATTAAAGTTGGATTTTGATTATTATTCCAAATTAAAAGTTATGTTCCTTCATTATAATGTAATCTTGTCACCTTACATTATTAGGCAATATTTTATGATAAAACATATTTACAGTATAACATTTATTAGAGTATAACATTATATTTAATACAGTATAACATATATTACAGTATAACATTATATTTAATTTCATAATAAGCTTTAAATAAAACTGTTTCCAATTAATATATATAATTATTTGTTGCTGCTGATGTAGGCCACTAAGGCAATAAAGGTGTGATTGTTCTTGTTTTAAAGTGGCGTTCTTGTTTTCCAGTCCATTTTTGACACACCCGTATATAGGGCGGACCCATTAATACATCCACAGATCATAATTTTGACCTGAATAAAAGAATGATCAATCTCCAATCCCATACCCCTAGAAGTATAATTTGTTATGGGAGGACTTTGTGTGAGTGCATCATAAACCATTTACTACACGAGGAGTCCAGCGCTCTACCCAATATATGTAATTAAGTTAATGAAACTGAAAAAACATTTTTGGAAATTAAAAAATATGTTAGCTTAATCTACAATAGGGTTGCATAGACCTTTTTGAGCCAATGAAGGGCAACATCCATATTTAAATAGCTTAAAAGCAAATATTATCATTTTTATTACTTATTTAATAAATTAGGATTTTTATCACAGGATGTGAGAGAATTTCTCAAAAGCAGAGTGAGATTTCTTTAAGTTGAGATTCTAAAAATTATAATAGAAAGCGAATGGGCTTAAAAAAAATTTTTTCCTTAATTATTACACAATTACAAATGTTTTTAATATGTTCTTAATACTCACATTTGCATAATTTAAAAACAGGAAATGAAAAGTCTCTATACAAAGAAAAAATTTTTAAAAAAAGGATAGGCTAAAAATGATTTAAATTTATGTAATTTAGAACATTTATACAAAATTTTGTATTTAAAAAGAAAACATAAATCTCCATTAAAATTAAAAACAACAATAATAATAAAATACAATTTGCTTAAATTACTTGTCCTTCCATAAAGCAGTAGTCTTCGGAATTTTCTTGGCATTTAAAGTGCTGGCTTTCCGTTTAGTTGCCATTCTCTAAAAATAAAATAATGCATAAGAAATACAACCTACGGTCTGTTCAGCAAAAACACATGAACAAGTAAACACAAAGGTTTGCTATTTATTATAAACATTAGCCACTAGGTACATGGGCATTCTACATCAACTGACTTTAATAAAGGAATAGTTTGCTTTTTATTTTTAAAATTTTAATTAAGCATCACTCAAATACTGCCAGACACAAAAAGTTCAAACACAATTTAAAAGATGAATAGATTTTAAAGAACTATAACTCTTTGTTTTAAATAATCTTCGGATTTCTAAAATAGTAGGAATTTAAAAATATCTAAATTAAGTTTGAGACATTTGAGAATCTTCAAGTTCTATAAGGGTTAAGAAAATCATGTCCATTTAATATTAAAAAAATTAGGTTGTGAAGCTTAATTTTGCTGTTTTTCTATTGTAAGGTTTTCCGGTTGAAAGTTTTTTTTTCTTACCAAGGTCTACAAAAGTTTAAAAAAAAAAAAATAAAAATAAAAAAGTCAAACACAGATTTCCAAATTCCTTTTTCCCACTAATATCTTTCTATTTAATTATGTTAAATTGTTTTCATTCTTTAAATCAAATTTGCTTTTGTTTTACCCTATATTAAACATTTTTTCATTCAAATTGAATATAGCAATCAGTTTACACACAAAAATAGAACACATCATTAGTAATAGAAGAATCAAACATGTGATTACTGGAAAAAGAAATTATCTGAATATAATGAATATTTTTTCCTTTTGTACAATTTTTTTTTTCTTTTCGCAGATAGAAGATAAATATGCACCTTGTTTATTTACCATCATATGCTGATAAAAACTCGTATAGGTGTGCCTAAAAAGGGGTTAATTAAATGTATTTTTTAAAATTCACATGCCCTATTAAAAATATTTGCATTTTAAAATAATATGTAAAAATCAGTAGAAAGTCGAAAGATTGAAAGAATGATAATGTTTAAAAGTAAATAATCAGGTGCGCAATTTGGATTTCCCGTATCATAATAATATCGAGATTTTAAAAAATTATGTGCCAGTAAACAGCAATAATTGAGTGGAAAAAATGTGATAATAATATTAAATAAATAAAAACTTTTTGTTTGAAGATGCGAGATAGGTGATATTTCCGTATCGTGATCTGTTGCGCTAACTACAATCACCAAGGTGCCAAATAGATTTTAAACTTGCAATTTTTGTTTTTAAAAAAACATGTAAATGCATGCCTGCGGGTGGCTACGAGTTATACATTTCGAGTTGGCCCCTTTCTGTGATGTATTTTTCAGTTTCTCGCGGGCCGCTGCCCGAAAATTGCAAAGACTTGGTGATTATTCTGCCACAGACCAGGATACGGAAATCTCCCCAATTTTCGTAAATATGACGAATAGCTAAGCAAATTTTGTCAATTAAAACCCTTGGGAGATCACAGTGACCTGCACCATTCATGGGGGAAAAATAAGTTATAACTATTTTATTTATTTTTTTTAAAATTCAGATTTCTTTTCTAAACTTGTGTCAATATTGTCCAGAGCGTGGAAACGTCTTCTGATGGAACTAACTCTACATATTTAATCAAGTCTAAGTGAACATAGGCGAAAAAAAAGTTTTACTTTAAACTGATGTAAGATATTGCTAGCACACAAAAACTAAAAAAAAAATTTATTTAAATAAAAAAACTGAGTACAGTACGATTACCAAAACCAGAATTGAATTATTGAGCAGTTTTTAATTACTTATTTCTGTTGCTTAGGTTTAGCGCTCATTCATTCGCAAACTAAAGTTTGTTTATCTTCCAATCTCATATGAGCTATAAGCTAATCTTACGGTAACACATTAGTTGCAGCTCTTCCTACACTATGCTGAAGTTTGTTAGTAAACAAGCCCTAACCATCGAAATAAGGTGTGAACAATGTTGCGTTCAATAATTTTAGCATTACTTTTGACAGAGCTTGTAATTTCTGGTCCTCACACTTACAAGAGTAAAAAAGGTTCTAAAGAAACTCTAGATGAGAGTTCTAGCTTCAAACTTCATTTCAAAGATGGACAGCATAATAATGAATTTGATCATGAGTCCATTTTGGGTAATTAGATAACAATATTAATTAAAGCCTCTAATTCAAATCTTTATTTCAAACTTAAATCTCACAATCAAACTGAGTCTACTTTTTTTGCCATTTATTTGATACGACCGACTAAAATTAAACGTTTTTAAAGTGGAAGAACCGGCTAAGTGACATTTTAGGGAATTTTCCGTGAATGGGCGCTAAAGTTAATACGTTCTTCCTTTTTATAGTTCCGTTTAATCTTCATGTTTTTTGTATGTTTGTGAAGATTTTTGGGGATCAATTTATTTTATTCTAATTCTTTTATAAAGAAAGATTTTAATCAGTTTTATGCGTAGCATTTGCTTGTTTACACCGGTAATTTTTAATGTTTTTCATCGATTATAATTTATTTTGGAAAGATGAAGTAACTATACATGTATTTATACTGATATTCATAAATGAAAATTATCTAGCTGGTATAAAATCTTATCTAACTTTGTCCGAAAACCAATTAAAACGATTCAAAGGCAACATGAGCTCAACTTTCAGAGAGTAGATGTTTTACTGTTATGTATCGCTTTAATTGGCGCGAATTCCGTAATTTCTCATATTAAAAAAGAATTTTTTCTTTTTAAATAACACTGTGTTGCATCTAAAGGTATTTCTGAAATTGATTAAAAGTATTTTTAATGCAAAATGTCTAGGTTTAGTTGTTAAAAGACAAATTATTTTAAATTTTTTATTAAAAATATTCAGTTTCATGCAAAAATGATACATTTTAATTTATAAATATGTTTACAAAACAGTTTTTTTTTTTTTCCTATGGTAATAAACTAAGCGTTCATGATTAGCTATGTGATTCTCAGTTTTCATAATTTAAGTTACAAATTTGCACCATTGAACACCAAATCCACTCTATGAATATACAGTACAGAACCCGTTATCCGGAAATCAAAAAACCGGAACAAAATTCGATAAATTTTCTCGCCATTTTTAAAAAAAAAAATATTTTCCTCGTAAGATTTTACAATTTTTCTTTCATTTTTTGAAGATGTTTACCTTACCATCATTTTGGAAATAATCATTAGTGTATTACTTCATCGTTTTTTCTTATTTTTAAGATTATTTAAAATTCTTTTTTTTTTAGTTGGGTTTAACAATAAAAAAAAACGGCTTTTTGTAGCGAATCGGAAAACCGGAAAAATCAGTTATCCAGAATAGCGATGGTCCCGACCGTTCCGGATAATCGGTTCCCTACTGTACAATATTTTTTTCATTTTCAACTTCTTAGCCTTGAATCTAGAGTACACCTGTTTAAAGAACAAAGTCACATTCACCCTCGAGAAGAATTTTTTATAACCGAAACTAATCAGCATTTGTGCAAAATGAATGTTAAAACCAAGAAAGTCTCTCATGCTTAGCCTGATGCCAATAGAGCTCTGATCGACCAAAGTATAATTTGCATCTGTACTGCTACTGGCAGGGAGCAAAATAAAGTTTAATTTTCTATCTGTGTAATTTTCTACCTATATCTTCGTGTGCTGGATGCCAAGAAATTGATTTCTAGAGTTGTTTATTGATTATCTGCCTAGTCACTTAGCCGGTTCTTCCATCCAAAAAACACTGAAATAATGTCACTTATCCGGTTCTTCCACTAAGCTCTTCAATTAAAATTCCATTGGGAATTTTTTTTTCTTCTATACTATATGCCCAATATTGTGGAAAATACTGTTGTAAAATTATTGTTTTCATAGAAAGAAATTTTGTAGTCCTTTTTCTTCTTTTAATTACTCCTAAATATATATATATATATCTATTTAATTGCAAATTTGAAATCCATTTGGTGTTTTGGCAATTGTAGTTGGTGCGACAGATCTCGATGTGGAAATATCCTTAGGAGAAAAGTTATTAGAAATTTTTCAAAGTATCAAAATATAAAATGTTAAAGCAATGATTCAGTTCTATTTTGTCTAATACGTTGTCTTATATCCACCTAACATCATGAGGAAAATATTATAGTTTTTTTTTTAAAAAAAACTGTTTTTCTACGTACGTTTGCCAAGGGGGAAGAAATTTTAAATGCCCGAAATTGAAGTAAAGTTTTATTATTATTTTGCTGCCAAAAATTATCTGGACTTTAGAAAAAAAAAAAAGAAGAAGAAAAAACATTTCAAATAGTTCAAAAATTAAACTTTTGAAGAAAATAATTGCCGATGTGGCTACCACCTAGAGCATGGTAATAATTAAAATTATGGAATAATTCTATATCTTTACATATTTTTATAAATCCAATTAGAGTAATAATGACGTGACTTTATGCATAGTAAAAAATTAGATCTAAAACACTTTAGGTTCCTAAATGTAAGTTGCTTTTCATCATACTGAAATTATGCATCATTTTCTATTATCAGTAAAGAGGGCACTGGCTAGAGATGACCAAAACTCAGTGCCATCTTTACACATGGACAGTGCCCAGTTGCCTCATGCACTCTGGGGATCCTTGAGAATCTTACTATTTATAAATTGCGTTTAAAAAAAAAACTAAGAATAAACAACATTGCATTTTATAATTTTTAAAATATATATATATTCTCGTGTAAAAAGTGTGCATTTTTAATATACAAATAGTGATTGATTGTCATGCAAACACCAATAGTTTGAATAGTTTATATCAAACTTTTGAACTTGATCACTAGGAAAGCTTAAAAAGTCAAAAGATTTTAAAAGTAAAATTTTCTACCTTACTCAACTCTCTAATTCATAATGTCCCTAACCCTGTGGCAGAATTTTTTCAAGCTACAGAACTCTCTAGCACTAATATCTTTCTGCAACATATTTTTAATAATGACAAGCATATGTTACTAATGTAAAATAGCAAAAGCATTGTGTTTATAAAAAAAAAACTATAAAATATTTTTTTTATGAACATGTAATAATTTTTTATTGTGGCGCTTTGTTTAGTAAATTAAATAAAGAATTAATATAATTATTGCTTAAAACAAGTAACATTTTATTATTTGAACAATTTAAGAAATAGCATAACTATATTAAACCTATTTTGAATTCACCTAACTATTTTAGAATTAGAATATACAATTAAACCAACTTATTATTTAACATTAATTCTTATGTGCTTTTAGAATAGATGAAGAGAGAGACTTACCAAGTTTATTCATGGTTTCGGTTTCAGCCTTTTGTCACTCTGGCTGATTGTTCTTTTGATTGCTCTGTCAACCCTTTCCTTCAGCTGCTTTTATATCATATTTTCTTGGGTGATAAAAAGTTACAAATCTGAGGAAAGATCAAGTCCAAAAGTTATTGTTGTTTTCGAGTTTGTCCCATGATGGGGTTAATCCCATGATGGGGGTGACATTGTAAGATTTAAACCTAATTGTTTATTCGAATTACTTTATCCGTATTTAAGTTACTATTTGTCGATAGAGATTTCCCACGGTAGTTTTATATAATCGAAGACTTTGAAATGTTCTAGAAATCTAATTTTAGCCCTTTCTCTTGATTTTAATTTTGAGTGACGATAAGCGTCACATTATTCGAATATTATGGATGATATTCTTGAATTTTGTTGAAAGAAAAAAAGCAGAAATTATTTCCTTCTTCTCATTTTGTAAATAATCATCACAATAAAAAAAAAATTAATTATCATGAAATCCGTATGGGTAATTACCGAGAAAAAGATTGACGACTAAATCACGTGAATCGGATTCCTCAAATGTTTATTTTGATTTGAGATTATGTTGTAATAAAAAATATCGGATTTAAAAACTATGAAGAAATCAGTATCAATAACTGCCAAGCATTCGACAAAATTATTGCCTTAAAAAGTCTGAATTAATTATTGCCTTAATCAATAACTGCCAAAAATACGGATTTAAATGTTACCTGTAAATTTCTGTGGGAAAAAAAATAAAATTTTTTGCTTTTTTTAAAAGAAAAATCTTTCTGCAAGAACTCTGTAACGTTCTGCAACAGTGTCGCAGCAATTCTGCCACAGGAGTCCCTAAATATGCCTGTTTAGTATTTATAATGAGTTTAATAAAGTAATAATTGAAAGAGTTTAGAATTACAGAGCACTATGGGACAGCAACTTTTAAACTGGTTATGACTGATCTGCATTGAAAGATGTTTAAATAACTGGCTTTTTAATAGTTTGACGAAATAATTCATACCTTTTGAATTTTTTTATTTGTTATGCACTTATGTTCTTTAATGGAATTATTTTAATTATCTTCTTGGTTTTGAAAATTATTTTATTATCTGAGAATTGCAACTGGTTAGCGTCTCAATTTTTTTTTTAAATTTTGCAACTAGGGGTACTAAATTAGAAGTTCCCATTTTAATTTAGGACCACACATTTCAAAATGCTTTATTTTATATGCATTGAATTTTTGGGGGTGATAAAAATGAGTTTAAGTTTGTTCAAATTATTCCATATCTTAAAAATGCTTTATTTTGTCAAGTTTTTTAGTTTGATTTTAAAGAGTATAACATGTTATAGGAGCCTTCTTCTATGAGAAGGTACCCGACCATAGAATCAACTTGTCTTATATACTAGTGAATTGGCATTGTATTTTTGTAGTGGTAGATACACTACAGGGCCCAAATCATTTCTGTTCCCTGCTAAAACTTCAAAATCATGAATAACTATCACAAATTTGCATCTGGTAAAAAAAATAACATTATATTCAGCTACTTCTCATGACAAAAGAGCCTTTCAAAAAATAGCCTTAACAAGTGTTTCTTTGAAATAGATATTTTATTACATTTTAAGGAAGCCATAATGCTGCTGAAGAATTTGATAGCCTTTCTCCAGAAGAATCTAAGAAGAGGCTTCATGCTCTAGCTTTAAAAATGGATAGCAATGATGATGGTTATGTTGATAGAAAAGAATTGACGCAATGGATTTTGAGATCTTTTAAGTAAGCTACATTTAAGACATTTTTATCAATCTTTGATCATTCCTTTTTTTTAAAAAAAAATTAAAAACAATATTTCTAACATCCAGGGGCGGATCCAGAAATTTTTCCTGGGGGTCATAAACTCAGATTCCCCCCNAAACAAACACACAATTAATTCTTTTAAAATATTTTTTTTCATGATGAAAAAAATAAAAAAATATTTTAGAAGAATTAATTGTGTGTGTGTTTGATTCCCCCCCACCCCCAAACACACACACAATTAATTCTTTTAAAATATTTTTTTTCATGATGAAAAAAATAAATAATTCAAGTATTCAACATCTTTAAATAATAAATGTAATGCGTTTTTTAGAAACTTTGGCAAATCTTGGCTTTGTCTTTGGAGAAAAAAAAAATTTCCGTCCTACCTACAAGTGTATATACCCCCTTAAATAATTTTTAAAATATTTTATTTCTTTTGTAAACTATTAAAAAAGTTATTTTTATTTTTTTCTCAATTTGGGGGGGGTCCCCCGCTAGATCCGCCACTGCTAACATCAACAGTAACTTGTAAAAAAAATTATTGTATACTAGTTACATATTTAGTACAGTACAGAACCCGTTATCCGGAAATCGGAAAACCAAAAAACCGGAACGAAATTCGATAAATTTTTCCGCCATTTTTCAAAAAAAANATTTTTAAAAAAAAAAATTTTTCCTCATAAGATTTTAGGATTTTTCGTTCTTTTTTTAAAGATGTTTACCTTATCATCATTTTGGAAATAATGAATAGTGTATTACTCTATCGTTTTTTCTTCTTTTTAAGATTATTTCCAAAAAAAAATTTTTTTTTTTAGTTGGGTTTAACAATTAAAAAACGGCTTTTTGTAGCGATTCAGAAAACCGAAAAAATCAGTTATCCGGAATAACGATGGTCCCGATCGTTCCGGATAATAAGTTCCCTACTGTAGTTTCATTCAGTAATTTGAAATCTTGTAATTTAGGATTTTTTTTTTTCTTTGCTATAAAAACAGCAAGATGAAAACAATGAATATAATATATTAAATTTTATTATAATTTTATATCATAAAAACAATTATATATAGGGTTTTAAATTTAAATCATAAATCTAATGGGATGGGAAAAAAATATGAAAAATATAAGATTCAGTAACATAAAAAAAATATGTATGCAAATAAATGTTATAATAAAGGAGAAGTTTCCCAACCATAACTAAAATAGGCATTACTTAAAAGATTCTAATATATTTGCCTACTATGAACAAAAAGGGTGTAACATAAGCTGTAGATCAAGATTGTGACAAATCATACTGGATCAATGGCATTATATTGCTTGAGTTTAAGTTTTGTGTGACTGCCATCATTGTCCTTTAATCACTAGCAATATATAAATGCCACTCCTAGACCTAACTCTCGCGCACAGCATTTATAAACCACTGATATGAATTATAATATTTATTCTCCATATCTCGAGAACTTTTTAAGCGAATTGAAAAATGCTTGCTTATAATTATAAAATTGGTTTATCCGGAGATAATTCCATGCAAAAATAAATTTTAGTTAATGTACATATTTATTTTTATTTATTTAATAATAGTCAAAAAAATATTGAATTGTAGGGTATAGATCGAATTCTTAATGGACGACTTCTTTTAAGGAGCTATTCAACTGATTTTATGCAAATTTTATATTTTGCAATGCAAAGTTAATACTTTAAAGTTATGATATCACTCTCTTGACCTAACTATGGGGACCATAGTTCCCATAAATCTGAATCTGTCAACAACAACAAAAAATTTAGAGAAAGTGCGTTTTTGTGTCTGATTTCGTAACTTAAAATATCATCTGCTCTAATTAGCTAGCATATTTGAGGTCACCCCCATGAAGATTGATCTCTTGAACCTGAAGATTAAATTAGATCAAAACTTATTCAGGGTGGTCGTTTTCTTTTCTTTCTTTCTTTCTTTCTTTCTTTTTTTTTTTTTTTTTTTCTNTTTTTTTTTTTTTTTTTTTTTTTTTTTTTTTTTTTTTTTTTTTTTTTTGGATGCACTGTACAAACTGTCTAATGAAAGAAAAAATTTGTACAAATTTACTCAAGTAATATGGAATGTAATGTTAATAATATTCATTTTTTATTTATTTATTTGCTCTTTTCAGATGTAAAATTACATGACAAAAGATCTAAAACCTTACATATTTTATTTCCTCGTTAAGTCATTGAGTTTTTAGATTATTGGCATCCTAAACTTTTTTAACATACTTTTTATTAAAAGTGCATCAAATAGTACTGCATGAACCTACATTTTTTATGAGGACTACAGAAAAGTATTCCCTCACTCCTAACTGTTTTCTTTCCATCTAACCGAGAGTTGACTTGTTGAATAATAACCCATCCATTTGGCATCTTAATGGAGAGAGAAACGAAGGTTATTTCATCTTTTATCTGATAATAGGATGCTAACAGAAGAAGAAGCTTTGGATGAATTGGAAGATGAAGATGGAGATGAGGATGGAAAAGTCACATGGGAAGAGCATTTAGCAGAAACCTATGGCATGTATGATGATGATCTTGCACTTACACAAGACTCAGTGGAGGATTATCAGGTAGGTCTTATACTGCACAGGAACTTTTTTTTTAATTTAAGCAATCAATATTCCACCAATCGGTGTCCCCACTCCCTTAGTTTTTTTTTTTTCTTTTTTTCTAAAATTCTATTAAATGCAGAATTTATAAGTGCACGTCTAACTATCTAACACTGCAGAATAAAAAAGGTATTAGTTGTACAATTGAACATGTTTATCTCGAACCTCTTTATCTCGAAAACCTCTATATCTCAAAATTTATAAAATTCCTTATATATTATATCCATCTTCGTTAAGTCATGAAAAATTCTTGGAATTAGTCATGAAAAGTCAGGAATATGAAAATCTAAAATGTAGCAGATACCCTGAATTTAATTTTCTCTGTTATGTTTCATATAGGGATGCACAACCTGCAGCCTGCGAGTCGTGTACTACCCCGCTGACCGTTAATGTGTCCCCCGCAAAAGCTTCTAAACACGTAACGAATTTTTTCTTTTATAAATAATCATTAGAAAATTTTTAATCTTATGTTTCAGTCATTACTTTCTGATACACTCAATTTGAACAGATTCTATTGTAAATCTATGTTGTTTCTCGATCACTTTTTCAGCGGTTATTACTACGAAATTGGAAGAAAAAAAATCAACCATATTTTTGCAAAATAATAATTATATTAAAGTTTTCGAAATGTTCTTTTAACACATTTTGTTTGTAATCTATTACTTTCCAGCACTAAAATCCCGTTTGTCAAGAGCTCTGCTTTTCGTGAGTAAATTGTCAAGTGTCTCTGCTGTCTTCATTCTTCAACTGCAGCAGATCTCTCAATTCCAGGGAAAATATAGTTGTTTGATATAAAACACAAAATTTTACAAGACAAAACTCTAAATACATAGAATGAGTATATATATTATAAAGCAAATCATGGTTATGATTGCCTGGTTGGCAGTGTGCTGGACTCCTATTCGTGAGAACAAGAGTTCGAATTTAGCCGAACAAAGACTCCCCCCGTGTAGTAAATGATGACTGGTGCACGTTAAATCTGTCAGGTCACAAATACCTCCATGTGGCCATAACAAATTATACCTCTGAGGTACTTAATTGGAGATTGACAATTTTCTGGTTCAGATCAAAATTACGTGGGTGTATGAATGGGTCCTCTCTATGAACGGGTGTGGCAGAAGTCGAATTCTTGGCCATAGATGGCGCCACTATAAAACAAGAACAATCACACTCTCGTTGTCTTAATGGCTTATGACAACAACAACAAAGCAAATCATCTTTTTTCAAGCTATGCTTATGGGCTAATTTACCATATTTTTATAAAGTTACTAGCTGACCCGGCAAACATTGTTTTGCCATATGAATTATTTCTAGAGTATGAAAATATATCTTATTTATTGTAAGTGTGTGCGTATGTGGTTTATAAGTGGAAGAGGCGTGGAGCGCTGTGAACGATGACGGAATGTAAAAATAACAACACACCAAATAATAATCTTTTTAATTTATTGTAACTTTTTTTTATAAATTATATATACAACGAATTCTAAAAATATTAATCAACAATATTAATCTCTTAGTGCAATGGAGTGTACAATATTTTTTGTCATTTTTAGCTAACACAAATAAACTGGATGGTTTGTCCACTCGAGAGCATGCCACGTATAATTGTCCGTGTGAAAAACATGGTGTGCTCAAACTAAGCCACAAACAGACATTGTTTGGCCTTGAGATTTATTAATAGTCATTACAAATGCCAATCTAATGGGGAACTGAATGCGTTTAAATTGAATTGGCACATCTGTGGGTATAATAGGGATTCGTAGAAGTAATGTACTTTTACCCCGGAATTCGCCATTTAAAATAATGACTTCGATAACGTTGTTTATTAATTTTTTAACGACTAATTGCGTGGCGTTGCATAGCCATATGTCCCCAAGTTACCAGCAATAACTGTTGTATCTTCAGACTCAATTCGTTGACGTCCACATTTTTTGCTGCTATAATCGCCCTTTCTGCGTGTGTACATCGGGAAATATTAGGTTAATGAGAGCATCTTGTAAATCAATGATTGTACAGAAATCGTCCGGTAATTTTATGCATCCAGTTTCATCCTTAGTAACTTTTCCATCACCAATGTCTGACAATTGTTTTGAGAATGTTTCAGCAGATGGATCCTGAAGCATTTGCACTCGCATATTTACTTTTAGTTGAACTTTTTCAACATTACGCCACAGTGGAGATGATTTCAAGCAAGCATCAGCGAACGTTGAACGCGGAATGACGGGAAGTGTTTGTCTGAAATCACCTTAAAGGAGTAACAGTGTGCAGCCAAATAATTTGTCATTGTTTTTTATATCTTTCAATGTCCTGTTCAACGCCTCAAGGGAATGTTTGTGTGCCATAGTGCATTCATCCCAGATGATAATTTTACAGTGTTTCAACACTGTGGCCATAGACGATTGCTTTTTTATGTTGCACACTGCGTCTGGGTTGTTTTGAATATTTAGTGGCAGCTTAAATACTGAATGAGCTGTTCTGCCTCCATCCAATAAAGTTGCCGCAATGCCAGATGATGCAACGGCCAACGCGATGCTATTATTTGATCATATTTCAGCGAGAATTAGCGAAATAATAAATGTTCTGCCAGTTCCACCTGTTGCATCCAAAACAAAATCCACCTTGTCCTGACGAAACTACAAGCATAATGCGGTCATAAATGTTCTATTGCTCCTCATTCATCAGTGGAACATTGCGAGTAACAATCGCTGCCATTTCTACCGTAATGTATTGAAGTTCACGATTCATGTCATTGTTTAATAAATCAGATGCACTTCGATTTGGCGAAAGCATACCGAAATGACTGAGAGGCAAGTTGGCAATAGTAATGCAAAGATCCTCAATAGCAATCAGTGCTTCATTGTACATAGCATCGCTGAATGCTATCGTTAGATCGTTACAACGTGTGCGATGGTGATACAGTATATCATCAGTCATCGAATCTTTGTGATTATCCCATAACGTTTCTATACGGGCCGGTAAACATGTAGTTAATACTATAGCGAATAGTAGACGAATTTGCTTTGTAGTACAGTTCAATGCTGCTTCAGCAGGCATACATTCTCACTGGTTGTCGTCTTCCAGCAAGCCCAGTGCAAGGAGGCATGCATCTTTATACGTTGGATGCTGATGTCCATCGACTTTACGTATATCTTGAAATGACAATGAGCCGGTGACATTAATCAACAACAGTCGAAAATAAATGCACTCAGTCTGCCTTGGATTGACTGTAAATACTCTCCCCAAGGCGTTTAATTTGAATAAACCGGGACAGGCATCAACCGGTGTGCCTTGCTTACGGGGTGTCCATTTTTTTGTTTGAGCCCATGTGAAATAGTGTGGTACTTCTGAGTAATGTCCGTGCAAAGGCACCAAAAGCATCCGCACGATTACACAATTCAAAAAAATTCGGTGAGTGTAGTTTTTGGTGGATTTATAGCTCGGTCAATCGCTGTCTCGTTCGTGAAATATACGCTCTGACCGTTTTCAAGATGGACGGCTAAATGACTAACGGTTGGATCCCGTTCATGAATCGGGAATCCAAAGATCATTGAAGGAGAAGTCCAAAGAATCAACAGCTTCATTGGAGCTGATGTACCGGCCAATTTGGTACGCGGTATTTCGTCGTTGTTATTCACTGGAAGAGCAGTCACATTGGTATTTTCAACTCGAAATACTGCCATTCTCGCAAATATATTTGATGCTCTTCTTTTAAGGGCGAGTATAAGTTATTAGAGTTTAATATGACTTGTTGGAACGTGCTTGAATATTGTTTTTTAATTGTTATGTTTCTATGTCTAGCTTGTATCCGAATACGATTAAATAAAGATATATTTTAACTTTAAATCTGTCAAAAAAAGGGAAAAAAAAGTTATAAACCTATTCTCAGACCTACTGAATATACATATAAAATTTCATCAAAATCGGTCAAGCCGTTTCGGAGGAGTTTAAACACTAAAACTGTGACAAGAGATTTTTATATATATAGATACTTAAATAAAATTTTTTTATTATTTCTTAATTGTTGTGGTTATTAATCACAGCATCTTCATCTCACTAAAACCTTAATACCATAGTATTGATGTGCATTTTGTAGCACATCAAATTTTTGAGAAGTCAAATACACTCTCTGTATTGACTGCTGTAGATTGTTACTCTAAATGCCTTGTAATATCAGAATTTATTTTACTTATTATTTGTGTTAATTCAGACATAGTGCTGCAATTCTGTTTTTTTTTTTTTTTTTTTTTTTTTTTTTTTTTTTTTTTTTTTTTTTTTTTTTTNAGAGTTTAATATGACTTGTTGCAACGTGCGTGAATATTGTTTTTGATTTGTTTCTATGTCTAGTTTCGATCCGAATACGATTAAATAAAGATATATTTAAAATATACGTTAAATCTGTCCAAAAAATGAAAAAAAATTAGTCATAAACCTATTCTCAGACCTATTGAATATACATATAAAATTTCATCAAAATCGGTCAAGCCGTTTCGGAGGAGTTTAAACACTAAAACTGTGACAAGAGATTTTTATATATATAGATACTTAAATAAAATTTTTTTATTATTTCTTAATTGTTGTGGTTATTAATCACAGCATCTTCATCTCACTAAAACCTTAATACCATAGTATTGATGTGCATTTTGTAGTGCATCAACTTTATGAGAAGTCAAATACTGTCTCTGTATTGACTGCTGTAGATTGTTACTCTAAATGCCTTGTAATATCAGAATTTATATATTATAAAGCAAANTGCAATTTTTTTTTTTTTTTTTTTTTTTTTAATGGAATTACCTGTCAGTTTTGTTCCAGGAGTGTTATCTAGACATCATTTAGTATAACCAACATATTTCTTTCAAATTGCAATTTAAAAGAAAAAAATTTCAAATTTCTCTGTATTATTGAACTGAGGGTAATAGAAAAATCTTCTTTTTTTTAATGTTAAAACCAATGCTTTTATGGCAAAGAATTTAAAATTACTCCAAGTTATATACAAGTTTGTATTATGTATTAAAATTTTATTACAGATTAAGCAATTTCTTTGCAATAATTGGGTTCCCATAAAATATTGTTTAACCTTATTACCTGTGAAATAAAAATTTCAGGAATTTAATTTCTGACATCGTTTTATTTTTATTTAGATGTTGCAAAATGATAAAGAGCTATTTAAAGCAGCAGATCTAAATGGTGATGGAATTTTAAACAAATCAGAATATCCTGCCTTTTCGCATCCTGAAGAGTTCAAACACATGCATCAGGTACACTTTTTATTTATTTATTTCATTTTATTCATTATTGTATTTATTTATTATTTTATTTATTAAAAATATCAATATTTAGAATTTTGTAATAAGAGATATCTTTTTTTTAAATTTCCAATGGCAATGGAAAATGACACTCTTTTTAAATTAAGAAATAACAGGAATGAAAAAGAACAGAATAAAAGAAAAAAAGTCAGTGTCCTATCAGCAGATGTCAAATGCTCCAGTATCCCATCATCTCGGAGCCTCCGCTCAGAGCCGTGCATCCCAACAAATGGTTCCTGTCCATGATTTCATCTCTTCCACAAAGTGGGCGATTAGAGGCCAGGATAGTCTGGTTGGTAGGGCACTGGACCCATGTCCAAGAGGTCGTGGGTTCGATCCCTACCGACAAAGACTCCCTGTGTAGTAAATGGTGACTGATGCATGTTAAATCTGTTTAGTCACAAAGTCCTCCATATTCCCATGTCCTCCGGGGGTACTGATCCAAGAGTTTTCTTGTGTTCTGCTTAGGTTCTACATTACAAGGCTACAGAGTTGAGCATTAGTAGTCGTAAACAAAAAATTGGGTTTGCTGTTCAACGACGGTTATAAAATAAAATTTAAAAGTGGGCAATTAGGACTCCTAAAAATGCCAATTCGATGAAGATGGTTTGCCTGGCAGTCATGGCCTACCGCGAGTCAGAATTCCGCAACAGCTTTTTCACGGGACTTATCTGAAGTGTTTTGGTCTAAAGCTATTCCTCCAACTTCTTGAAGAAACACGAGAAGTCAGCAAGGCTTTCCAATTTTGTCTTTTTGATATAAAGTTTTATGGAATAGAAATAAGTGTTTGGCTGTTGAATTACTTGAGTGTCCTTCTTGGCCAATATATCTGTTTGTTCGTTGCCATGAATATCACAGTGTCCTGGAATTCATTGGAGTGTGATTTGTTGTCCCCCGATCCTCAACTAAAAAGATATCTTAACTCTGTGATTATAAAGTTTCTTTTTTCTTTAGCAGAAATATCAGAAATGTTTTTCATTAATTAGATTAATAAAAGTCCATTGAATAAAGCTTTCAAAAATTACGCAAATATATATACTTATTAATGATCTTTTATTTTCTGATACATTTATTCCCAGTTTGAAAATAGACCTTTTTATTTTTGTTTTACTATCGTAAACTTATTTAATTTTTCAGAAATTAAATTCAAAATTTACTTTTTGTTGTTTTTAGAAGTTATCATTCTTAATCTTTCTATAGTTAAATGTAGATTTTTTACAGTCTCCAGTTCTTAATACTTTTCTTTACAGACTGTTTTTAATCGGTTCTATATGAATAAATGATGTAGGGCAGGGGTGGCGAACCTTTATACACCAACGTGCCATTTTCTCTAAAAAATTGTTTAATGAGGTCATAGACGTGCCGTCAAATAATTTATGACTTCGTTATTATTGGGAAAATAATAATACTAAATACTATCAACTCAAAACTCTTTATTTACATTGAAAAAAAAACATTTTGCAATATCTCAGTTATACGCGTAATTCAACTTTCAAGTAACATTAGTGTGGCTTCTGTTGTTGCAGATTAGATGACAAATAACTTAATTAGGTTGTAAGATGTTAGTTTAAGCAGGACTGTTGATTTTTTTTTACTAGTTATTTATTGTTAGCTTGTTTTTATAGTTATTAATTGTTTTTTTAGCATTAATTTTTTTAATAATATTGTGTATTATTTTGTCTATTTTTTGCTAATTTTAATTTAATTGATACATATACTTCATAGTGCAACAACAATTGTGATTGGTGGAGTGCCCAAAATATTGTGTCGCGTGCCATAAGTGGCACGCGTGCCATTGGTTCGCCATCTCTGATGTAGGGTATAAATGCTTATGCAGTCAGAATTTTCAGGAGTGTTAACAAACATTCCTATAGGAAACTTTTAGTTTTTGTTGAAACATTTAAAGCTTATTTTGTTTTAATAATTTTCAACCTTTATTTTAATTTATAACATTTTGCAGTTTGAATAGTTATAACTTTTATCAGTTTTATTTTTTAATGAAGGCTTACATTTCAATCCCCTTTTTTTAGTATTCTTACTTTATTCTGCAGAATGTTTTTTTTTTAAATCTTTCGTATGAACAAATCCTTTATTTTTTAAATAGGTTTTGTATGAACAAATGATGAGAAAACGTGACGTGAATAATGATGGATTTCTTAGTTTTGAAGAATTCATTGCAGATCACCATGGTCAATCCCCTTCTGAAAATAGTGAAAACTACGCTGTAGAAAAAGATAGATTTATCCATGATTTTGACTTGAATAATGACAGCAAATTGAGTAAAGAAGAAGTACTTCTCTGGATTATACCAAACAATGTGTAATTATAATATCCAACTTATTAAAGTATAAATAGTTTGACAAAACAATTTTAATTATCATCTTTCTTTTTTTAATGTCTTCAATAAAATTACGTTTTAAAGCATTTGATTTTTTTAAAGAGATAATTACTAGGCTTTTCACTTGGGGATCCGTGGGCAAGTTTTGACTATAAAAAGAGGTCCTTGTGTCAAAAAGGTTTGGGAGCCACTGGTTTAGATACTAACTACACACTGATAAAATTATCTGTGTTTTTAGATTTAATTTTAATTTACTATTACAAATATTTACTATATTAGAATTATGGGAGCTATGTTAGGATTTTTTTTTTTTTAGGGGCATAATGATAAATTTTTTAGTGATTTTAAATTTTAGAATAATTTTTTTGAATAAATACCTTTTAGTTAAAAATGCACCTTTAATTGTTCATTTTTTTATATATATATATATATAATTTCCAGTTTGAAATATAAAAAAAAAGCTTTCAAGTTGTTTATCTTTTTTTTCTTTCATTTTTTTTTTTTTTTTTTTTAATNAAATTTATGCACAGAGATTGTCTTTTAGCATGCCTTTAATTAATTTTTAAAAGCTTCAAATGTTTGTTATTTTGATAATGAGTGAGAATTACTTTTTGAATTATACACATAAATAGTTATTTGAAAATAGTTAAGCTTCAAATTCAGTTTTTACATAATATTTCATATTTGAATAAGTTTTAACAGTGGTTAGTGCCCTTTTCTGTGAGGTTGCGCCCTGCCCTTTTTATTCCTAAAAAGAACTCTGAATCATTGGATATATATAATTAGCTATACATTTTAGCTCTAAGGTTTCAAATAATAATATTATCATTAATGCATTTTTCAAATGCTTTTATTGCTAAATGTTAGAAAAAATCATATTTGCCTACAATGCCAATTCATCAATTGAGTTTTATGCTATTTCCTTGTTAGATATTAGTTTCATTTTACTAAGTCAAAGTGAAACGGAGAGAAAAAGCTTTTCTGTTTGTTCATGCTGTTACACAATATTTAATTTCTTTATCAAGGTTTTGGTTGTCTTAACCCACTGGCGGTTTAGCAACTGGGCGAAATTTGGAAAATTTTCTCCCCTATACACCACTTTTTATCTAAGAACGTGGGAAAACCGGTTTTGCTATGCGGAGAAAACTGCAGATTAAAATACGATTTTTTACATGCTGAACCGTCAGTGGATTAAACTAGTTTTGGACAGGACACATGGGTTTTATTGTCTTTAACTGACTAAAACTGTCTGACAGTGTTCAAAACCTTGAACATTGGTAAAGGGGTAAAAATTCTATTTGTGTAATCATTGTACACATAATAATTACTTAGATTAATACATATTTGATACTTTTTATACACTTTGCTTTAACTTATTAAAGGAAAAGTAATATAATATAAAAGGAAAATATTTATAACTTTTGAAGCTCCCCAATTCATTGAACAACAAAAGTAAATACCTTATCCTTTAAATTTGAATAAATATGCTTTTAATATTAATAAATTATGTTTTTGCGTAAGAATAAATAATGCAATATTAAAAAATAATAATAAACTTTTTTAATGAAACAAAAACTTGTTTTCATTTTGTTTCCTGTACAAAAATTAATTATTTATTTTTCGCAATATTTCTTTTAAAATTGTGACATAATTTGAATAAAAAAGTTTTGGACAGGAGGATTTAAACCATGGATTAATCCATTCAGTCCTAAACCTTGCCAACTCTATTCTTTATTATTCCTCTTCATAAATTAAATGCTGTTTATTATATTTTCAGAGAGACTGCTGAGAATGAAGCAGATCATTTATTGGAGAGTTCGGACGTTGATAAAGATGCCAAATTATCGATTAAAGAGATTGTTGATCATCATGAAATATTTGTGGGAAGCGAAGCGACTGACTTTGGAGAACAACTTCATAAAAGTAGTCATCATTATGAGGATGAGCTATGAACTTTTAATCCGTCTTTATTTATTTTTTTTTTATTCTGAATTTTAAGCTTGTTTTATCTTTTTTTTTTAAATTGGCTTAAAATGCATCTCAAAATACATAAGTGTTTTTAGTAAAGAAGAGCTTATATTTTGTTTTTAATCTATGCATTAGGAGCAATTTTTCATATTCTCATATTTAAATTATTGGGTGAGACCAAGACCAAATATTATGTCAATCTATTAAATATGGCTGTATTCAGAACCAACTTTATCTCTGGCACTGTTAATTGATTCTAATTTCAAGCTATTTCACGTTCAAGCTATCTAATTCAAGTAGAATTCATTGCAACCTCTGTATATATTATTTTCATTTGGGATATATTATTTTACTGAGATATGTAATAGAGTGTGATTAGCAAACATTATATTGGTTATTTTAGAAGTAAAATTAGAAAAATATTCAAAATATATTTACAAGCTATTTAAAAAAAAACTCTGGAATTAATTTTCAATTATTTTTGTAATCAATTATAATAAGCCCATAAAGTGTTACTGAACTAAACTATGTCTTATGCTAATAAGGTATATTAAGTTTCTTTTTTATTATTATTAACCTTTTGAAATAATCAATTGCTTTATATGTCAGTAGATAAAATAATTTTTTTACAGCTTACGAGGTCTATAATGATTTGTGATCTTCAAAAAACATTTAAGATTTATTTATCAAGTTGAAAAGCAGTGTATGATAATAAAAAAAAATTAAATTGTGCCAAAGTAATTAAAATATGTTCCTCAGGATGTCAATGATGTATTTGCTTAATGTGAGTCATTATGTACACAGAGTGTTTGTGCGTGTAGATCAAATGTTTTTATTGACTGTAAACACTTTTGCTTTACATTGGATTTTATGTCTGGAATGTCATTTCTTTCAATGTTCTGTAATTTTTAAAGCATGTTTGTGAAGTCCTCTCTCTTTTGTATTTTTCAAATAATATAAATATGTTCTCTTAAATAATTTATTTTTATTTGCTTAGACATTCATGATACAGTGAGCTAAAAAGAATCAATCGCATACAGAAACTCCTAGTGGGAGTTATGCATAACATGGTGTGTAGTCAAATTTTTCAACAAAAAATAAGCAGTTTTCAAGAACTTAAAAAATATTTTTAAGAACTTTGAAAAATATCATAATTAGACAGGTTTGGCAAGTTTTTAATAATTGATGGTTTTATCCGGTTTTATTTACAGTGACGGAGACGATGGCGCGTCACAAACGATGAAATTAAAAAAGAAAAATGACATTTTCTATCAGCGAAAGTTCGAAAGATTTTTCCTTTCTATTACAGATGGCGGAAAATGAAGTCTGAAATTGAGAATCTCTTGCAAAATGCAGCAGGGTTGCACACAAGAATCAAAACTCCTTACCACAGAATCCAGCTCAGTATACGCATGTGCGGACTCGCAAGTATTTCATCAAACATGTAAAACAAATGGTGCTTTCATTTGCTACAGACCAGCGGTACGCCGAAATAGATTGGGGTTGAATTAATTGTGAAAACGTTGAACAGGACAATGTCTTTTTGCATAATTCGAAGCGAAAATCAACATGGTAAAAAAAAAATATCACATTTCAGTAAAGAGAAAATTAAACACTTTTTAAAAACACCCAATGAAAAAAGCACCTTTAAGGGCTTTTAAAAATCGAAACTAAGCACCTTTTTAAAAACGCTACGCACCATGTATAATAATAAAATGAAGAGTTTGTCTATCACTCTTATATCCCACAGTAGACTGATCGTAAAGACAGGGTGCATAACCAAATATTTCAACAAAAAATAAGCACCTTTTAAGTACTTTTTAAGCACTCCAAGAATATTTTTAAGTACTATATACATTAAAAAAATACAAAATAATTTTCAAAAACTTTCCATGATCATGATAAAATAATGTGAAACATGTAAAATGATTGCCGCTATCGCAAGCTATGGACCTAAGGTACGCCGAATTGTAAGAACGCTGCATAGAACAATAGGAAAAGCACGTTTTTTCATAATGCATGGCGAAAATCAACATGGTAAAGAATTGATCTCATTTTCGAAAAGGGAAAATTAAGCACTTTTTAAAAACACCAAAAAGCACCTTTAAGGGCTCTTAAAAGTCGAAAATAAGTACTTTTACAGGGTGCATACAGACTCCTTAGAAACTCCTTGGAAATAAAAAAAGTCCCCAAGGAGTACTTGGAACTACTTAGATTTCCAAATTAGTCCTTAAAAACTCCTNTTAAGGGCTCTTAAAAGTCGAAAATAAGTACCTTTAAGCACTTTTACAGGGTGCATACAGACTCCTTAGAAACTCCTTGGAAATAAAAAAAGTCCCCAAGGAGTACTTGGAATTACTTAGATTTCCAAATTAGTCCTTAAAAACTCCTTACATTATTGCATTGCATAGATGAACTAAATCCGCTGATGAACATGTCCAAGCAGGAAAACTAAATGATGACATAGCTGCCAAAACCTAATAGTTTAAGAAAAACTTTAAAAGAAAAAAAAAATTGAATTGCAAGAGTTAGAAGAAAAAAATAACAAATGATAGTTTTAATTTTACATGTTACAAGCAAGCTTAATAATTTACTGTGATTTTTTTTTTTTTTTTTTGTATAAATGCCTTAGATTTTTTTGTGCATTCAAATTTAAAAATATAAGATTGTTATGTTTTTATGTTAATCCTTAACATCTGTACTTTAGCAAGATTTATTACAATATTTTAAACTGAAAAATGTATTTATGTGTAAAAGTGATAGCTTTATTTATTTTTCTTGATGAAGTTTGACAAAGTCGAAATTTATTTGAAAAGGGTTAGAGAAAAAATATACATTTTTGCAAGTTCCTTATAATAACTTCTTTTTAAATTCTAGTTATCTTTTACACTAAGTTTTTAAATTTTTGATCAGTCCTTAAACTTTTGGACTCCTTGAACATCGTCTTCTGATCTCTGTATGAACCCTGTTTTCAAAAACGCTACGCACCATGAAAGAGATCGTGACACGTTATGCAACAGTTTTTGCGTCACATCTTGTCTGGGATCTATAAAAGAGCGAGCCTCAAGCAGCCTGTTTCATATTCTCTGCAGACTCTGAGCACTTCACTAAGCAATGGAGAGCAAAATTTGTTTTTACGTCAATGCTGAGGGCAGTGGTGAACTGCGCTCAGTAATTGCCTCAATTATAACCCCCATCCCTAACAGTATGCTGATTGCTCTTCTAGTTGGTTAGGCTTCTAGATAGGTATCTCTTCTGATTGACATGTAAGGGGTGCAATTTATAAAAATCAAGCACTAACTTGGCCAAGAAATATATCAAAATATATTATGCCAAGTTACTAAATTGGAGATATTGCAAAGAGAATTAGATGATAGTATTTCATTTATCATTAAAATTTTATTATCTTCATTTGTAAGTGAATTTACAAATATGCGGAGTTATAAGTTTTAGAATTAAAGAACGGGTTAACTTATCCATTTGCGGACGTTGTGTTATTCTCTTTTCAACTTTTGATTTATTGTGAATAAAAAATTTTGATTTGGACACATTTGAGCGCATTATTTTGTATAAATATAGTACTCAGTGTTTTGTAGTTAAAATTAAGAAACAGTTTCAATCACGAGATTGCTTAAGAGTAAAAATGAAATGATTTTTAAAAAACAACTCTTTTATGGTTTTACTCGATGAAGTTAAAATTAAAATATTGAATGCAACTTTCTAATTTTGGGAAAATCGAGTTAATATAGTTTCAGTTAATTTTTCTGACATTATTGCATTTTATTAAATTTTATCTTAAAATTTGTTGCAGAATTTTCTTATTAACTCTAAAATAAAGATGAAAATTCGATTAATAATAAGAATATCAAATAAGTTACCAACTTTTTTTTTTTTTTTAATTTATAAGAAATTCTTGTAACGCCTTTTATGATAAAAGTTATATTAAAAAAAACATGTACAGTAGAGCGCCGATTATCCGAATTGCTCGGGACCAAATGTGGTTCGGATAATGGGAAAGTTGTTTAAAATCTAGTTTAAATGATTATTATTTATGCGCTAGCTACCCTTTACACTTTTTCTAGGCTTAGGACTGGCAGTACTATTTAAAATAGCTCTGGCGTGTTTAAAACTCCTTTTTTTAATTTTTTTTTATTACAACTTGAATTATTTTTTCAACTTGAATTATTTTTATCACAATTCAGCTTTATCATATTTCAGCTTTTTTATAATTTTTTTGTCAATTATTGATTTTTACCACATTTTTCTTTATTTTCCATTGCAAAAGATATCGAGCAAAAACTTTTGTTTCAAAGAAGATGCTCTTTTTTGCGTAGCTATATCCCTTACTCTTTTTAAATAAATCAACTGAACTGGATCAACATCATTTTGACGTTCTAGCCAATTCATTGCAATATCTAACGAATTGCATGCTTCTATATGAGAAGGTCCACTATCTTGAACTTGATCANATAATTTCAAAAGATTTACTTTTGACAATGTTAATTTCCTTCACTTAGTTATCATAGTAGTATCATGAAAACTATGAAGCTATTTGTAGTATAAATATTTCTTGTAATTAATCTCACTATCAATTTCACTGTTTCCTTTGCTGGTTTGTTGTTGTATTGTTGACGTGAAGTGTTTACATAGTTATCGATCGAACTAATCATAATGGTATTATCGATATCAACTGCAATATCGGCAGTATGTCGGTATTGCAGATAAAGTTCGATAAACAAATTTGTAAATTAAAATCCATATTAATAAAAATGTTTAAAAAAATATGCAAGAAAATTTTAGCATATATTTTGAAAAGAGGGAAGGAGGGGAGGGCCCAAAAACGGCTATGCCTAGGGCCTTCGAAAGGTATAATCCGGCTCTGCCAGTCTTCTATGTATTTCTTCTGCTGTATAACCTGGCGTCTTTTCACCCCGAAAGATCTAGGGGGGGGGGCTTGGGAGGTCAAATGATTAAGTTTACTTAAAATTTAATTAATACTTACCTACTTTAATTACATTAATTAATTTAATTAAGTACTTTTCTTAATTTAATGACAACTAACCCCCCCCCACACNAACTGACCCCCCCCCCCCCAACGAACTCAGAGTATCCAAATTGTTCAGCAAATTTTTCTGCTTTCTGCACTTTTAGAATATGTCCACTCACAGGTAAATCAGCACTACGTTGCACCTTCATCCATTTCAATAACGTAGTAGTAAGTTACATTGCAAAAAAATATAAGAGATGATTTCGTAACAATTAATTCTTCCCTGGAGTTCAGTGATAATTTTAATTGTTTATTGATCGGAGTCAAGTTTACGGGAAAATCCGAAATCAAAGTTGGATCGAACATTTCAACAACACTAATCTACACTACAAAATCAAGCAAAACTATAAGACATGCACCAGCACAATTAATAAAGATAAAAAAAAATTTTATTTATAGCCCTTGCAGATGGCTTTATGTTATTAGATTAAAACCATAGTACTGCAGCACCTATCGAAAATAGCACCAATTGCCATAATACCAGTAGAGCTAATTACCAGATTTCATTAAGCATTATAGGTAAAAACAATACATAGCGAATTGTTTATGGCTTCTATTAATGAATCAGAATCTTTGCTTTATTGAACATATCTTATTTTTATTTCAATTACTGTTGATTTTAAATCATTTAGCTCTATGGAAACGCGTTTTAAAGCCATTATTATAAACAAAATAATCTTGTGATTTCAGATAACTTTAAAAAGACTAAATCAGAGACGTATCACCTGCTGTCCACATTGATGACTGAGTTTGTAGAAAAAAATTAAAGAACGAGCTATAAAATCATAAACAGAATCGTCTGTAGTTTCAGTAATAACAATGACTAATCTTAAAGTAATGCGAAAAAAATAATTTTTCAAACATCTCTCCCGAACTGAATTTTTAGAATAAAATTACTTTTTGTAGACGATGTCCAAATTTCGGAACATCCGCGACGAGGACAGAGAAAAATACCGAGTTAACTCAAGAGAAAAGTTGAAAATCATTAGTAAATAAAAAATTTCAATTGGGTGAATATTTAACTTTTTAACAATTTTGTTAACTTATCCTGGAATGTATAGCAATGGATTACAAAGTTGGTGCCTAAATATTTTTCTATATAATTTAACTTATATACTTTTCTAAGTGTACTTTTTTATTTTTAAATGTAAACCTTTAACTTAATTTATGATGCTTGTAAAGAATATTATTAATGTAAAATTAAATTCTTTTGTCAATTTTTCTTCTTCTTCCTAATCCCCAAAATTAGCAGGGCTAAACAATGTCCATGAAATTCATGAGCCGGAAGAAGTCGGCCACCAAAAGTGGGTTTTCTATTTTTCTTATATATATACATATCGAATGAGGAAAAATATACGAAATAATTCAACTTTATTTTAATGTTTTTTTCGTTAAAAACACATATATTAAATTTTAAAAAATATACTGGATAATGTATGTTTATTAAGGAAGCGATTTTCTTTACTACGAAATAATAAAAGGCTTATGCTTTGAAATAACTATTTTATTCCTTTCATCATTTCATTAAAAAATGCATTGATTTAAATCAATAGTGATTTTTAAAAAAAAAATCAATAATTTCAACAAAATGATTAAAAAATATTAATTGAAAAAAATATAATTTAAAATATTTTTATTCACTAAAATAAATAAATACATTCTTTTGAGAGCGATTTTATTTTAAGTTTGATTTTATTGATAATGAGGATTTTTTTACTAAGAAATATCGTAAGGGATATTCATGTAAAATATTATATTTCAAAATAGACTACACGAATATCAGAGTGATATGAAACGTTTAAATAGTAATTTTCCATTTAATATATTTAAAATAATTTTCTGGCAAAAAACATATTTCAATTATACCCATTTAGTTTTTTGTTTAAAATGCAATGCTTTTATATCTTATTGAGTATAGATATAGACTACCTCAAACTAGAATGACGTTTTTTTTTTTTTGTTTTTGTTTTTTCAGTAATGTTTTATTATCTAAACTAATTTACTTTTCATTAGATGTCTAGTTGACAAATTGTCACCCGATTTTTAACAATCATCACCAAGTTGAACCTGAAAAATATAACTATTATCTTTTTTAACGCAGTGATTAGTATGTAATAATATAATAATTTTATATCCATTTTTAGTAAGAAATATTAACTACTTTACTTCTATTATTTTTAAACAATAATATTATCAAAATATTTTACCATGCTTTGGATAGTAAATTTTAAAAAAATCCAATAAATTTTATTTAAATAAAAAAAATCCGATTCATATCAAATATATACGATTTTGGAGTAAAAAAAAATAATGATTGCCAACCATGGCTTCTGGTCAGAGTTGTAGTCATAAACTTTTTAGTACATGAACTGAACATTTTATGCGCATATCTTTTTTTTTTAAAAAAATAATACGCAGAAGTTTGGTTAAAACTGGTTTAAAATTCAAATTATTAAATATATTCAAAAAATGTATGCAAAAAGTTATTTAAATTTTGAATTATTAAATATGTTAACTAAATTAAAATTATTGAAGTAAGGTGTTTTTCAATTTAATTAAAACTTGGTACTGCACCCAGAACTTTTACTTTTTAACCACCTTAAGACGACAAGTGGGCAGCAAATATATATTTTTTTAACCAATATTCGTGAAAAAATTGAATCGGTCTAATTAAAATTTTGACCGATTTTGGAAACTTTGAAAGCCCCCTTGTCAACTTAAAATGAAAAAAAATTTTTTTTATAGTTTAAATATAGTTTGTATTTTAAAATTACAGAAGTATCAAAATTTACAAACTATAAAAAATTCCTTTTAAATGAAAATTACCAAAAGATGGAGGACTAATTATTGACAACCCCCCCACAGCACAACAGTTTCTGGCAAACAATATTGGCGAGACGACGTTTTTATCAGAAATTGCTTTACTGCATGAATGAAGTAGGAGGAGGGATGGTCATAAAGGTCCACCAACCTTTCTTAAGGGGTGAAAAGATGTTAGCAGCACAGTCCACCATGTTTTAGAAAACCATTAGCGCTATCACCGAATGCTGATGGCTATGTCGTGGACGGTAGGGCACTGGGCCCATGCCCAAGAGTTCGATCCCCAACGGTCGAGGACTCCCCGTGTAGTAAATAGTGACTGATGCACGTTAAATCTGTTGAGTCGCAAAGTCCTCCATGTTCCCATAACAAATCAATACCTCTGGGGGTACTGATCCAGCAATTTCCTTGTCCTCTGGATTGGTTCAAAATTACAAGGCAATGCAGTTGAACATCAGTTGTCGTAAACCCAAAATTGGGTCGGCTGTTCAACGACAGTTATAATATAAAAAATGCCAAGAGCTTGCATTAGACTTACCAAGGAGAGAATTTAAGCCTCGGTCAGTCTTTTTTAAATTGTCTAGTCTGCCGACATTGCATGATGAGAAAAGTGCAGAGCAGGTATTTGAAAAAGTGCATGGCTTGCCGGCACTAGGGTGACCAGAGGATCTTGCTCAGACAATGGTACCCTTTGTAATTTCAGACTTATACCAGCAATATAAGACAAAAAAAAAGGTGGTATGTTGCCATAAAGGGACAAGCTCCAATACAAAAAATCTTGTAAGATTTAAAAATTCCGTTTGCTGACTTGAAATTGATGGTGGGCTGCCCTCGAGCAGAACTGATGACATTGGATGAGACGTGCGGCAGGCACTATCAAAACTTAAGATGTTTTTGAGCAATGGTTGCAACTTACAAGTCCTGGATAGAGAACGACTGTGACTTGTAAGGGTTTTAGTTCATTTTCGACAAAATGAAGGGTAAAAAAATTGGGGGTGACCTACCACAGAACACTAAAGTCAAGCATCACTGGTTGCGGGGTGTTACCACTTTGATAAGCCAGCGTAGGAACCGACGGTGAGCGGTATCGATCCTCTTTAAACTGTTCTACTGTAAATTGCTAGACTTCGCACACAGGACTACTAAAAAAACAGAGGATTAAAATTGCGGTGGCATCTCTTCGTATCATCCTCAGAGATGTTTCCCAACAGACCATTGTGTAGCCCTAATGTGATTTTTCATACATCTCAGGGTTGATTGTAATCCGGGTGTACTCCAGAATTCCGGGTTTATCGTATCATCCCACCAGGTGTAGAAACAAATAGCAAGGCGTGTGATTTTTTGCTGAATTCCGGGTTTCTCAAAACCCTAGATTTTCGGACTCCCATGAATCAGAACTTATAATGCGATGAAATTTTCATCGCAATTTAAAGTAAGAATTAAGTTCTACAATCTAGATTTTGAAACCTTCGCTGAATCGCGTTAACGAGATGTTTTCAAACACGCGATTTTTCTGCAATCTATCTCTATATATATTTCTCTTACACGGCACCAAAAAAAAGACTCATTACAACTCCCCGAATGGCAACGTTAGAAAATCGACCAATGATTGCTGCTAGAAATGTCACATGGCAAATGTCACATGAAGTGGCTCAACATATAGCGCTTTTAAAAACGGAAACAATAACCAGAGTGAGCATTATCAGGTTGTTCAATTCAGATTCATGCCCTAAAAACATGATAATATTTAATTTAAACTCAATTAGGAATTAATTAATTAATTGAAGTGAGAATGCTTTAAAAGGCCGCTGTTGAATTGATATTTTTCTACTGGGAGCTACCTAAACGTCTAAAAAACGTTTAAGTGTTTGTATTGAATGCATTGAATTTTTTTATATTTCGCGTTTATTTATGCATTGAATTTTCACGCTTTAAAATGCAGAATATTAGTGAAGCAATATTTGATAATTTATTTTGCTAATATGTTTCTTATTTAGCTAATGTTTTGATTTTTTCACCATGTACAATCTAAATAGCTAATATACTTTTTTAAAAGCCAATAAGAACATTGGTAGAATTCTTCTACATAAGTACAATACTATGTCTTTGATGATAAAATACTATGTCTTTGATGATAATATATTATGTCTTTGTGCTAGAACATTGTGTTCATTGGCGAGCGAGCGCAGCGAGCCATGGTTCACGGCGTGAACCACATAGGATTGCGTAGCAATTCTCGGGGGTTGGCGAGCGTTAGCGAGCAGGGGGCGGAGCCTCCTAGTTATAATTTTATTTTTGGTTTGTCGGATCTTCATTGTTTTTAGTGTTTGAAACTACGCCGGAATCCTCTAATATCGAGATTCATGTTCACACAAATTTTAATATCTAACATCGATTTTCGTATTTACCCAATTTAAAAATATCGCGATTCATATTTACGCAATTCAAAAACGCGATTTGTATTTTCGCGTTCTTAAAATCCAATATCGTGATTAATATTCATGCGATTTTTAAATCCAATACCGGGATTCTTGTAAGAAGTGTAAGTTTTTTCTTAAATAAGTTACTATAAAAGTGTGATATTCTTCATTGATGAGTAATTTAAGTATGTTAACTATGAATAGTATACAAATTGATATCTTATCGAGTTTTCACACATAAAATTTTCAGTTTCTGTCGCAATCACCCCTGACATCTAAAAAAGGGAGAGCATTTTAATTTGTATAATTTTTTTAAACATGTGTATTCAAATTTACCCAGTCCCGTAGTGGACTCATCTTTAAGACACGGTTCCCAGCAGATCACCGAAGTCAAGCATCACTGGCTATGGTCAGTGTGCGGGTAGGGACCGAGGATGTGCGGTATTGGTCCTCGTTATAAACTGTTCTACCGTAAAGTGCTCGACTACGCGTGCAGGTCTTTGGACTACCGAAGCGGGGGTGCCATCCCCTCTACAGAGGATCAAAATTGTGATGGCATGTCTTCGGATAATCCTCAGGGGTGTTTCTCAGGCCATCGTGCAGCTCTAGTGCGACGTAAATTAACTACAACAATCAAATTTACCCAAGACAGTTAACAGCATGAATTTACCTTCTAAAATGGGGCTTTTATTAATTTGTTGGGTCAGTTCTACAGTACATATACACAATATGATACACAAATATATTATAGATGTCCAGTATGATACACAACATGAGTTACAATGACACAATATTAATAACCTATTTACAAATGTCTTCATTGAATCATTTTAATCTTGAAGCTCCAGTACGTGAGAAATCGGCTGCGGTATGCCATCAGGACCTACTCTCATTGGCTGAATAATCCCATCTCTGAAACATAGAAAAACAAATTATTGAAATAAAAATAAATACTAGTTTGATTCGGTTTAAATCGTCTTGCCTGCGCCTTTTTTTTAAATATAGAATTAATCATCAAAAATGGTTGACGGATAATTGACAACAGCAATGAAAAAGTTTCTATGAGTCCGTTGGCAATACAGGCAAACTTTTGAAAATTAATCTTGGTTAAATTATAGTTTATTTTATGAAGTACAAAGGTAAAATGTATATACTAGTGAATTTTAAAAATCAAGTTTAATATGATCTTAGAAGCAACTATCATCAATATACTTGAAATTAGGGATATGAAAAATATTCTGTCACCATTAAGTATTTGGTCTTTTTGCAGAATGTTCGTCTAAATTCGTTGGCAAAGTATTGCTTGGAAAAATATTTAACAGTTTTTTTTTTCATTAATTTGAATAGATTTAATAAAGAATTATCTAAAATCATATTTTTTACTATACATTAGAAATAGTTATTAAACATATTTATTAAATTCAAAACTTGAACAAATGTGCAAATGCGGACTGGAGAATTGAAACAAAATTATTTTATATTAAACAACGAGTTTTGTACTGCTGATTTTTATTCAATTATATTCAGTCAATTCAATTTGTTTCTTTTTTTACACTTTCTATTTTAAGAATTGGGAGCTTTTTTTTACAGCTTCTATAATATGGTGACATTTTCACAGAGCATTTCTGGCAGACTTTATTCTTTTACTGTCACCTTTTTTTCCTGTATTTGTATGGTTAAATAGATAAGAAAGACCATAGAAAAGATAAAAATTTCCATGAGCTATGTGGAAGCAGGGTAGAGCTACTGTCATTCATTTGAGGAGATCATCAATATGAAAATCTTTATTCTAACCTGTTTTGTTTTCTTCATTCACTTGATCATACTTGACGACACTGGAGAAATAAAATAATGGGGATTTTACTAACAGACCCAATTTTGGGTTTATGACCACTGATGTTCAACTCCGTTTCCTTGTAATTTTGAACCCAATCCAGAAGACAAGAGAAGAGAACTCCTGGATCAAGTATTGCAGTGTTTCCCAAGGTGTGGTACGTGTAACCCCAGGGGGTACAGGAACAGTTTAGCGGGGGTACGAGTTCTAATGCGAAATATCTTGCAACAATTGAACATTTTGTTTAAAAACAAAACTAGCCATGAAAATTTACGATTACGTATTTTTCTATTGGCTATTTTTTGCAGAGTTAACAGTTAATAATTAGTGGTGACAACAGCCAGTTGCGATTTTTAACTTTTGTGCAATTTTTTAAAGTAAAAAATGCATTCATTTTTTTTAATTAGTGGTACACAGCGTTACGAAAAATTTAGAAAGGATACACAAAAGTCATAAGTTTGGGAAACACTGAAGTAATAGGAGAAATTTACCTTCGTGGAGCAATTTTTTATGGAAATAACCAGCATTAGAGTTACATAGGAAGCCCGGTGGCTGAGCGCTGTCTTTATCGACCACTTCAGTGGGTCGATAAATGAGTACCAAGCACGCTTGGGAACTAAACACTGGGGGTTCCGCGTTCGGCTGACCACCTGACCGGAACATCTGCTCCTGCACCTCAGAGCCCAAGGTCAAGAAAACTGAGATGGGCACAGTAGGCCTTGGCCCGCAAGGGCTGTCGCGCCGCTGAGTTTAGTTTTTAGAGTTACATAGAGAGGAAAATCTCCCACAATTAGCTTGACAAGGGAACTCTAACCCCTTGACCTCCCTACCACTGTAATTCACGTCAGCACTGTGGTCAGTGCAAGCCGGAAGCGGAATTCGAATCGACCAGTCTTCGTTGGGATTCGAACCTGTGTTCACCTCATTGGCTAACGTTCTACCCCCTGAACCCTCACGTATCGACTTAAACAATTAACACTCAACATACTGCAGTACTGGCAATAGCACCATCTGTTGAAGGAAAAAAGAAGTATTTTTGCCATCAGTGAGTATTTTATCACAGATTATTTTTTTAAAAATTTCTTCTGAAAATACAAAGAAATTTGAGAATATAGAAGTAAACAGGATATAGAGGTAAACAGGATATAATACAGGAGTCTTCGTTAAAAAAACAGGAGACTTGGCAGGTATGCATGATACTGTATAGACAGGGAGAGTAACGTTGGAACGACGCTCAAAACATGTTAAACTTTCAATCATAAGGAAAAAGAAATTTTCACATTTTTGCACAACTTTTTTTTAGAAAAAAAAAGAATTATCAACTTGCCTTTAGCAATAAAAGTTAATGTTTACTGACTTCACCATAAAAGAGTTTTTATTTATTTATTTTACAGGGTTACCACAAACACTGAGAAAAAAAAATAGCTTGCCTTTTCCCTGATTTTTGTAATCAGTGTCAAAAATTTTATAACTAATTTTTAGTTACGTTGTATTCTTATTCATGAAATACATTACAAAAGACGCTTGCTTAGAATTAATACGACTGTAATTTTCTAGAAAAATATTAGGCTATTTTCTAGCTCAAAATCACATTTATTCATTTTCCCCGAATTTTTTTTTTAANACGTGACTTAGTACTAGATATATTTTTTATTGTTAGAGGGGGGAGGGCACCAAAATATTTTCAGTGCTTAGGGCCTCAAGAGGTCTTAATCCGGCCCTGGGTGTGTAGTCAAATCTTTCAACGAAAAATAAGGACCTTTTAAGCACTATATACATGAACAAAATGCAAAATAATTTTCAGAAACTTTACATGAAAATAAATAATTTCTGACAAAGAACTCCATAGCCAACAAAAAAATATCGAAAGATTTTTTTCGGTTGGATTTCAGAGGGTGGAAAATGAAGCCTGAAATAGAGAATATCTTGCAAAATGCAGCAAAGTTGCACATAAGAGAACTAGAATCTCATCGAACTCAGGTCAGCAGACGCGCATGCGGGCTCGGAAGTATTTCATAAAACATGTAAAATTATTGGCCCTTCCATACGCAATGGACCGACGGTACGCCAAAATAGATTAGATTGTGATTGAATGAATTGTGAAAAGCACTCTTTTGTGTAATACCTGGCGAAAATCTACATGTTTAAGAAAGAAAATATCATTTTGGAAAAGGGAAAACTAAGCAATTTTTAAAAACATCCAATGAAAAAAGCACCTTTAAGGTCTTTTAAAAATGTTGGAAATCAAAAAAAAAATCATCCTTAAGCAATTTTTAAAAACGCTATGCACCATGTAAAAAATTTCTTTAAAGCATCATTTTCTGAAATGTGTATGTATCTTCTTAAAAGAATATTTCAAGCTCCAAGCACTCAAATTGTTATGTTTTATTTTTGAAAACTTAAAAACATATAAAATTTTACTATAATTAAGATAGATACTAAATTCACCAATCATTGATATAGAGCCAGGACAGAGTGATTGCCTCCCAATGAGTTGACCTGGCTGTAATTCCTAACAATGGCTAGTCAATACAAATTCTGCTTCTGGGTTGCACTGGTCACCATGGTGACGTAAAATTTCTTTAGCATAGGCGGATCACGATTTAGGATGTCAAGGCTAACAGTGATTTTCCTTTCCTTAATGCAAATGTGGGTTAGTTTCACAAAAAAATTATCCACAAAGGCTAATTCAGGGTTGCCACTCAAATCTGGAGTAAAAAAAAATTCCTGTGTTTTTCCTGTACATATTATACACAATATATTAAGAGGAAACAACAATTACTGCGTTCTTGTGTGAGCTATATTGGGCTAACTATATTTATTAGTTTGAATCGCTGGAAAAACAGCTGAATATACTTAAATAATGTTATACTAAATGAAAAAGTTTAGCATAGCTGAAATATCATGGTTAAATATCCCATAGATTACACTTTGAGTGGTCACCATTTTTTAAAAGACATAAATAAGAAACTAAATTCCCTGTACTTTCCCAGTTTGTAAAGAAAAATCAAAATTCCCCGTTATTTTAGGTGATTTTTAAATTCCCCGTATTTTCCTGTTCTCCCTGTGGAGTGGCAACCCTGTAATTTGTCCAGATTCAAGAGTTTCTTTCAGGGTGACCACTCAAATTTCCCTGATTTTTCCAGTAAAAATCTTAAAATTTCCAGGTCAGCATGCTTTTTTTTTTTTTTTTTTTTTTTTTTTTTTTTTTTTTTTTTTTTTTTTTGTAGTATAGGTACAAGAAAAGTGTCAATATTAGTGTATTAGTCAATATGTATGTATATATGTCAATATGTGTAGTATTTCATTTAAAATGCTATTTTTTTAATATATCAACTTGAATAGATGTCGAGGAAACAATGTTTATCTTGCAGAAAATAACGCTTTTAATGAATAATAAAAATAAAAAAAAATTTTAAGTGTTAAATAGTTTTTGCCCAAAATGTAACAAATAGCAATCACCCAAAACAACCTTGGATTAGTACTGGTAAATATACTTTCATTAAGCAAAAGAAAATAATTCCAGGTGATTAGAAACCAATAAATTTTCATATTTATTTACATTTCAATATAAGGCCATTTTATACTGAATTCTATCCAAACAGTGCTCTTCATAAAATTCATTGAAATAATCTTTCTTAAACCAATATCATAAGTCAAATGTTTAAATAATATTGTTTGTTTGGAATTATCACTATTATTTTAAGACATATTTATTATTTGTAAAGGCAAAATTGCCAAATTTCTTGTTGCATATTCTATTGGAAAAAAAACTAGATAAAATTCTTTAAATTTTCTTCTTTTTCTTATTAGAAATTAGAATATATTAAGAATTCCGATCTAACATGGTTTCCTAGTATAGATGAGTTAATTGTTTTTGTCTTTACATCTTGGCAATTCCATGGTGTCGGAAAAAAATTAACATTAATTTCTTAGAAAAACTATCTTATAAAACAAAAGATTATAATCATCAAATTTTTACATTAAATATTTAGTATATCATAACCTATCGAAAAACAATTTGTTTTATAAAATCTGATTATTATAAGTTCAAATTAAGTGGATTAAATTGTTGCTG